ATGTCTGTCTGCCTAAAGCTGTTTTGTATTGATGTATATGGGCGGGGAGTAGTTCTGTCTGAAACACATTTTCCTTTCTTCTTTTTTTTTGGCGCACTCGTGCCTCGTGGTGCTCTGCGTGCTTTCAACACTAACAAGCAGCAGCAAAAGAACCAGCAGCTCTGCCAAAGGAATGGACATTTGTCGTTGTCATCAACCCAGTGTGTGGGCCAAAAGGAGTGTTGGGGAAGAGGGCTAGAGGAGGCTGGTAGGTAAGGTGAGGTAACACACACACAACCGCACTAACACTTACACAAGCACTTCTATTTCATTTCACACACGGACACGTTCTCTTAGATTTGGCCCGGTTCGGTTGGCTTTGCTTTTGGCTTTGGCTTTGGGCAGCGATTGCGAATTTGCTGGCGTTGCTCTCGGATGCTGCTGCCTTCGTTGCTGTTCATCTCACGTCGATGGACCATTTTTGACTGGCTTCAAATCGAAGTGGCTGCCAGCCTGCCTGCTTGCTTGCCTGCCAGTCTGCCAGCTATGCCAGCAGCAGCCTTTCGCTTTGGTGTCCAAGAGCCGAGATCCTATAATGGGTGTTCTCTGCTCTGTTCTTATACTGGGAGAGCCAAAACACACTGCTCTTGTTGCATTTTGCAGGCTCACTGGGGCAAGAAAAACGCACGTGAGTCGGAAGGGATGCCACATGGCAGGGACACTCCAAAGTTAGACAGATATGGAATATGGAAATACTCTAATGAATACTTTGGCCAGCGCAAATAAAGAATATTTTTAAAAATTTAAAGATTTATAGTTATTAATTAAATTATTGTTTAATATTTATTTTTAAACTTGAATAGTTTATATTTAATTAGATTGAAAAATGTTATCTTAGTAAGATAATTGTAGTCCATAAAACTTTATATTTTTTACATTAATTTTGATTTATTGTGAATACAAAAACAGCTATTTATAAGTTCTTAATTTAAATATGTTCTTAATACCATTGATTAATTTAATTAACGGAACCTATCCTTTTATATAATGTTTGAAAATAACGGCAACGCCTAAAAATGTTTGAATGAAATCTTTCATGTCTTCTCTTATACTATAATTTCTCTCAGTTTTCCTTTTATTTTCTCTTACAGCGCATGCTCTCTCTTTCTCTTTTGGGCCAGAAAAACTAAGCACTTGGAGCAGCAGGACAACAAAGGGAATTCCACCAACAATCGGGAACACTCGCACACATATATAGACCACCACAAGACCAAAACTCGTTTAGTTGCCGCGTTGACAACTTTGTGGCAGGCAACAAACAAACTCACCCACACACAGATACCCACTTACATACTATGACAAAATGTCCACAAGAGGGCTTCCTGTTGGGTCCTGGGGAAAGGTCCTGCAAGTGCAATGTGAGAAGGCAAATGCATCTTCTCGCTGGCAAGTTGGCCTGAGCATTGACCTGCTTAGACAGGAGGGAGATTTATGCTGGCCGAGCAGTAACAACAGTAAATGGCAAATAAATCTAACATTAAACTTCTGACACTGTCTCGGCATGGAGCCACGAAGCCATATCCTGCCGTTTCTCTCCACTTCCGGCTGGAATCTGTCTGCCCTGTCAGCGGGTAACAAAGAGGGCAACACTCAAGTTAACACACATTCACTTACACCAACAAAAAATAATATAATTAAATAAAATATATTTAATAGATTAATAAGATGTTGAAAGCATATAAGTATAATGATATTAGAACACACTTTATACCTTTATTCTCTTATTTTAAAGTTACTTTTTATTCCTATAATGAAATATAGTAATACTTTATTAATAGATCTATTGATTATACCTATATCTATGACTGTTGTTATATTAATAACAGTTTTGGAAGGCTTTCTCTCCGTGTATATTTACATTATATTCGGATGGAATTTATGACCGCCCAGCACCTTGAGGACCTCTCACTCCTGACTGTTGTGCTTTCCGAAATCTTTTACAGCTCGGGAATAAATAATAATAATAATTTTTTGCGCTCTTTGCCAGTCCGTTGTTGTTCACATTTCTCACATTTCTTTGCTATTCTTATGACAATGTCAACATTTCTTTTGCTTTTCTAATGGCATGACAAAGGCACAACGAAGGACGCCAAAAATTTTGGGGGGAATCCCCACGCACATACCTTATGATGTATATATGTATGGATGTATGTATGTGTTTTTTTGAATCGGTTGTTGTTCTGCCTGGCCAGCTATGCATAGCCATAAATTTTGGTTGAAGCTTTCCCTAGGTCGAAGGCTACGGGCAGTCCGAAAATAAAGCGGATAATTTCTGATGCTGACACGTAGAAGCACACACCCGCACACTCGCACCACCACAGGGATATAGCTCACGCACACAAACCCGATTGCCAATTGTTGTTTTCGCCTTTTTTTGTTTGTCATTTAACAGATTTTTTTTGGCCTTGCTTTGCTATTGATTTCTAATTTTTCCTCCGTAGGCTTAATAAAAAATCTTTGCACCACACGATTGTATCTGTGTATAAATTTCTCCTCGAGAGTGAGTGTGTGTGGCTGGGTGGTTTTTTTTTATTATGTGAGCGTGTGTGTCGCATTGATTTCGTAATTTATGAGCGTTTTGATGGATTGCGCAAATAATTTTTTATGTTTATTTTTGAGTTTTTATTGTTCAACCGCTTGTGGCTGCCGTTGGGTTGTCACATGGAAGTGTTGTGGTTTTTGAGGGTTCCCTTTGCCTGTCCTTTTGGCTGCCATTATGGCCAACATTCCATTTGACTGAATTATGGTACTCGTAGGCCTTTTATATATGTATATATCAGAAGAAATAAAGAGTTTTTAAAATGAAGCTTAAAATAATTTTTATTGATTATTTATGCAAGTGCTTGACAAAAATATTTAATATAAATACTTGACAAATTAATGCATGTATTAATTACATCACATTCAATTAGTGTGCCAAACTGGATTCACGGCAATTGAATAAATTATTATTTGAGCTGGTGCCACTGCTAGTTTAATGTTTGTTTAATATTTAATGGTTACATACGACGTCTGCGGTTAGCTAATTGAGCCAAACGCATCTGCGTAATTAAATTTGCAGCCAGAAGCCCATAAAAATAAATCTACAAAAAATATGTAGCATCAAAATGGGGCAGAAAAAGGGAAAATATCGCGCAGCAACTTGGTTAGCATGGATGAGTTCAGGCCAATTAAACGTTGAATCAATATTGTTAAATCCCCTTGTATACACAAAAACCGGCACACAGCCATACGGGAACTCTGGCGAACATTCCAGTATTAATTGATGTTCGTGTGTTGTCGGCATTTAAATAATCCATGAGGAACACGTATGCGAGTCTTTACCCATATACTTACCATACAAATACCAAATACCATATAGCACATGTACCGGCGTTTAAAGCCATTTGAGAACTAACCGGCGTTAGGTAGTAACTCCTGGCAACTGCGAACCTGGGAAATCCTGTTCACATGCCACATTCCCATTTACATTCACACGTTTACATTGTAATCGTATTGGAGGGAGCTTTGTGAACCTGGCACGTTGACTACATTTTAATGTTGGTAAAAACTCATTTTGAATGGACTTCAATGGCAGTGGGCCAATAGTTGTTTTGCGGTTTCCATTTACCCTTACTATGTGTACTATTTAGGCCACAACATAAAGGGTGTTATAAATTGTGTAGGCCAGGGGGGGTTGGTAGACCAAAGGCTTTAATTAAAACACAAAACCCAGGGGCTGAATCTAAATGCTAAGACTATTTCGGGGCTAATTTGTAATTATTCACAATTAAAATTATTTCTAAAATTATTAGCCAGATGAGGTTGAGAACGTCCCACTCTACTTTTGGTGAAAATATAAACAAGGCTCTTATAAAAATGTAGGCCTTATGATAATATTCTTTATGGCCTTTTAAGTGGAGGTTTATTAGAAATATAACATGGAATATAAACAAGGTTTTTTTATTAAGACTCCCCTTGCATTAACCTTTCTTAAGTTAATAGGTTTGTTGTTTTAAAAAATTAATACATGTTGTGCTTTCCTATATTAATTATAAACTAATAAAAAGGCAATAAGAAAAAGTATTATGATGGAGTTTTATTTAAACACCGACGTCAAAACAATATCTTAAAATTGCAATCCAATTGCGTAGTGGGAGGTATGATTTTTAATACTGCTTCTTTATTTTACAAGGATACATTCTGTTGGAATTCGGTACTCTTGAACTGGGAGTGAAAAATGTATAAAGCCCAACTATCCATCAGTCCAAGCACACACATTTCTATGCAAATGTTTATTTGTACATATAAAGTATATATATACGTTATTTTTTTTGGGTCAGCGATTGGAAAAGCCTCTGTGGCAACATTTGGGTGCAAAATGCCCTTGCCTTTGCTCGGCAGCGGCACTTAAGGCCAACAAATACAAACAGGCATAATAAAATAATCGATGCTTTTAAAATTTGCATAAGTTCGGATACCACAGATGCTACACAAGAGGGGCCAAAGGAGCTGGGCCGCTCCAGCCCCTTGAATTTCCATATCCCATTTCCCACATTGCGCATACGCCGTGTGGACAGATACGCCGTAAACCTGAAGACAGCGACCTGCGGCTGGCAAGTTCGTGGGCGTTCGATTTAATTGTGGGAATTCGGCGTCTGCCACGGACCCATCACATGGCCAGCCGGGTCTGGCTCAAAAGTTGAATTTTAAAGCAACTCAAGGATTGTATATGGTCTAAAGCCTACGGTATATATTTTCATTACCATGTGTGGGTTTGAGCGAAAGTTTCAGGGCTTCGATGAAAGAAGTGGCCTTGTCCGGCCGTGGGAACTTTGTTCTTCAAAGTACACGTCCTTATGTACAGCCAAATGACTGTCCACCCTGGTGAATGGGGACTTGATTCTTGGACAAAGCTTGTTAACCTTCCAGATTTCAAATTTCATTAACGTTCACAACGCCCTGCTGACTGGTTATATTTGTTCTCGGGTTTAAACAAAAAAAATAAAATTGTTTAACTATTTGGCAAAGCCTTAGTGAAAAAATGTTTGCCTGAAAAGTGCACAAAGATTGCACTTAAATCTAGATCTCCCATAAATAAACTGGATTAAACTCATTATCGTTTTAAAAGTCAATCGCCAGGTAAACAAGTTAAAGATATAAAAAACAGTAATTTAAATTATTAAAAATTAAAAACTATGCAATTATCAACTTATCTTGTGAGATACTTGCACATTTCTTAAAATCAACTATCGAGGACATTATTAATTTTCCAAAGATAGTGTAAATTCTATACATTATCCATAAATAATTTTTCCACCTGAAAGAAGCATAATCGCACTGTTTCTGCTTTAAGCTAAATAAACATTAATCATTCCCTCATACACAAGTGCATGAATAAAACATGCGAAATCAATTAATTTTGGGGACCGGGGGATTTGTTCCTTGCGTTCGCGCTCAAACAGAGCGCCAAATGCACACACATGGCAAAAAAGCCAAGATTCTCTCCGACATCCCACTCTCGTTTAATCCATCAGATTTAATTGCTAATTAAATTGCCGAAAATCTTATTAATTTGGAAACGAAATTTTCTGGCACTCCACAGAATGACAACGTCAATGCAGCCGAGCAAGTATACGGGCCTGGTGGCCGATCTGATGCCCAATATAAAGGCCATGAAGTACTCGGGCCTGTTCATGCACAACTTCACAGGAGGCAGTGCCTTTGTTAAGAAGGTGTACTCCTCGGTGCACCTCGTCCTGCTCCTCCTGCAGTTCGTCTTCATCCTTGTCAACATGGCCCTCAATGCCGAGGAGGTGAACGAGCTGTCGGGTAACACGATAACCACCTTGTTCTTCACCCACTGCATCACCAAGTTCATCTACCTGGCTGTCAATCAGAAGAACTTTTACAGGTAAGCCAGCAGCTTCGGTGCATGTTAATTGATTTCGAAGCTCATTCATCAAAGTAGGATTATAAACTTTACGAAATTGGAGTTTTAGAAAGTTTTTTGATGATTAACATCACTTAAACTCCGAAGGAGTTTAAATGTTTAATTTTGTCTCATTAACTCGGATAGGGTTAAACTGAAAATGTGCTCTATATCCGTACAGGACCCTGAATATATGGAATCAAGTAAACACGCATCCCTTGTTCGCCGAATCGGATGCTCGATATCATTCAATTGCTTTGGCCAAGATGCGAAAGTTGTTTTTTTTGGTGATGCTAACCACTGTGGCTTCGGCCACTGCCTGGACCACGATCACCTTCTTCGGAGACAGCGTCAAGATGGTGGTGGATCACGAGACAAACTCCAGTGTTCCTGTGGAGATACCTCGACTGCCAATTAAGTCGTTTTACCCATGGAATGCCGGCCATGGCATATTCTACATGATCAGCTTTGCCTTTCAAATCTACTACATCCTCTTCTCAATGATCCACTCCAATCTGTGCGATGTTATGTTTTGCTCCTGGTTGATATTCGCCTGCGAACAGCTGCAGCATCTCAAAGGCATCATGAAGCCACTGATGGAGCTATCCGCCTCCTTGGATACCTACAGACCCAACTCAGCGGCGCTTTTTAGGTCACTTTCGGCCAACTCTAAGTCGGAACTTATACACAATGAAGGTAAGGCTGTTTCAACATTCCTTATGTATCGACACTTAAAACAATTAACTAATTTGTAAGATTTTTTGGACGACCGTAAAAATTAAAAATTAAAGTCACATGGAGGCCAATATGGCCCCCTGCGATGACTGTATCTTTGTCAAAAATCATCCGATTCTTAAGCGGAATACCTTAAACGATTTGTGAGCCGATTCTTAATCATTTTGAATCAAAATCTAGGAACGAAAAATTTTTTAGATTTTTTTTCAAATTTTCTAGTGGACCCCCTTCGTAATGTTGAAAAATGTAAGGGAGGACAATATGGTCCCTTACGATGACTGTATCTTTGTCAAAAATCATCCGATTCTTAAGCGGAATACCGTAAGGAATTAGTGAGCCGATTCTTAATCATTTTGCATCAAAATCTAGGAACGAAAAAATTTTTAGATTTTTTATCAAATTTTCTAGGGGACCCCTTCGAAATGTTGAAAAATGTAAGGAAGGACAATATGGCCCCCTGCGATGACTTTATCTTTGTCAAAAATCATCCGATTCTTAAGCGGAATACCTTAAACGATTTGTGATCCGATTCTTAATAATTTTGCATCAAAATCTAGGAACGAAAAATTTTTCAGATTTTTTGTCAAATTTTCTAGTGGACCCCCTTCGAAATGTTGAAAAATGTAAGGGAGGACAATATGGTCCCTTACGATGACTGCATCTTTGTCAAAAATCATCCGATTCTTAAGCAGAATACCTTAAACGATTTGTGATCCGATTCCTAATCATTTTGCATCAAAATCTAGGAACGACAAAACTTTTAGATTTTTTGTCAAATTTTCTAGTGGACCCCCTTCGAAATGTTGAAAAATGTAAGGAAGGACAATATGGCCCCCTGCGATGACTGTATCTTTGTCAAAAATCATCCGATTCTTAAGCGGAATACCTTAAACGATTTGTGAGCCGATTCTTAATCATTTTGAATCAAAATCTAGGAACGAAAAATTTTTTAGATTTTTTTTCAAATTTTCTAGTGGACCCCCTTCGTAATGTTGAAAAATGTAAGGGAGGACAATATGGTCCCTTACGATGACTGTATCTTTGTCAAAAATCATCCGATTCTTAAGCGGAATACCGTAAGGAATTAGTGAGCCGATTCTTAATCATTTTGCATCAAAATCTAGGAACGAAAAAATTTTTAGATTTTTTATCAAATTTTCTAGGGGACCCCTTCGTAATGTTGAAAAATGTAAGGGAGGACAATATGGTCCCTTACGATGACTGTATCTTTGTCAAAAATCATCCGATTCTTAAGCGGAATACCTTAAACGATTTGTGATCCGATTCTTAATCATTTTGCATCAAAATCTAGGAACGAAAAATTTTTCAGATTTTTTGTCAAATTTTCTAGTGGACCCCCTTCGAAATGTTGAAAAATGTAAGGGAGGACAATATGGTCCCTTACGATGACTGCATCTTTGTCAAAAATCATCCGATTCTTAAGCAGAATACCTTAAACGATTTGTGATCCGATTCTTAATCATTTTGCATCAAAATCTAGGAACGACAAAACTTTTAGATTTTTTGTCAAATTTTCTAGTGGACCCCCTTCGAAATGTTGAAAAATGTAAGGGAGGACAATATGGCCCCCTGCAATGACTATATCTTTGTCAAAAATCATCCGATCCTAAGCGGAATACCTTAAACGATTTGTGATCCTGAAATGTAAGGGAGGACAATATGGCCCCCTGCAATGACTATATCTTTGTCAAAAATCATCCGATTCTTAAGCGGAATACCGTAAACAATTTGTGATCCGATTCCTAATAATTTTGCATCAAAATCTAGGAACGAAAATTTTATTAGATTTTTTGTCAAATTTTCTAGTGGACCCCCTTCGAAATGTTGAAAAATGTAAGGGAGGACAATATGGTCCCTTACGATGACTGCATCTTTGTCAAAAACCATCCGATTCTTAAGCGGAATACCGTAATCGATTTGTGATCCGATTCCTAATAATTTTGCATCAAAATCTAGAAACGACAAAATTTTTAGATTTTTTGTCAAATTTTCTAGGGGACCCCCTTCGAAGTGTTGAAAAATGTAAGGGAGGACAATATGGCCCCCTGCGATGACTGTATCTTTGTCAAAAATCATCCGATTCTTAAGCAGAATACCTTAAACGATTTGTGATCCGATTCTTAATCATTTTGCATCAAAATCTAGGAACGAAAAATTTTTTAGATTTTTTTTTCAAATTTTCTAGGGGACCCCCTTCGAAATGTTGAAAAATGTAAGGAAGGACAATATGGCACAATAAGCGGAATACCGTAAGGAATTAGTGAGCCGATTCTTAATCATTTTGCATCAAAATCTAGGAACGAAAAAATTTTTAGATTTTTTATCAAATTTTCTAGGGGACCCCCTTCGAAATGTTGAAAAATGTAAGGGAGGACAATATGGCCCCCTGCAATGACTATATCTTTGTCAAAAATCATCCGATTCTTAAGCGGAATACCGTAAACAATTTGTGATCCGATTCCTAATAATTTTGCATCAAAATCTAGGAACGAAAATTTTATTAGATTTTTGTCAAATTTTCTAGTGGACCCCCTTCGAAATGTTGAAAAATGTAAGGGAGGACAATATGGTCCCTTACGATGACTGCATCTTTGTCAAAAACCATCCGATTCTTAAGCGGAATACCGTAATCGATTTGTGATCCGATTCCTAATAATTTTGCATCAAAATCTAGGAACGAAAAAATTTTTAGATTTTTTATCAAATTTTCTAGGGGACCCCCTTCGAAATGTTGAAAAATGTAAGGAAGGACAATATGGCCCCCTGCGATGACTGTATCTTTGTCAAAAATCATCCGATTCTTAAGCGGAATACCTTAAACGATTTGTGACCCGATTCTTAATAATTTTGCATCAAAATCTAGGAACGAAAAATTTTTTAGATTTTTTTTTCAAATTTTCTAGGGGACCCCCTTCGTAATGTTGAAAAATGTAAGGGAGGACAATATGGTCCCTTACGATGACTGTATCTTTGTCAAAAATCATCCGATTCTTAAGCGGAATACCGTAAGGGATTAGTGAGCCGATTCTTAATCATTTTGCATCAAAATCTAGAAACGACAAAATTTTTAGATTTTTTGTCAAATTTTCTAGGGGACCCCCTTCGAAGTGTTGAAAAATGTAAGGGAGGACAATATGGCCCCCTGCGATGACTGTATCTTTGTCAAAAATCATCCGATTCTTAAGCAGAATACCTTAAACGATTTGTGATCCGATTCTTAATCATTTTGCATCAAAATCTAGGAACGAAAAAATTTTTAGATTTTTTATCAAATTTTCTAGGGGACCCCCTTCGAAATGTTGAAAAATGTAAGGAAGGACAATATGGCCCCCTGCGATGACTGTATCTTTGTCAAAAATCATCCGATTCTTAAGCGGAATACCTTAAACGATTTGTGACCCGATTCCTAATAATTTTGCATCAAAATCTAGGAACGAAAATTTTATTAGATTTTTTGTCAAATTTTCTAGTGGACCCCCTTCGAAATGTTGAAAAATGTAAGGGAGGACAATATGGTCCCTTACGATGACTGCATCTTTGTCAAAAACCATCCGATTCTTAAGCGGAATACCGTAATCGATTTGTGATCCGATTCCTAATAATTTTGCATCAAAATCTAGAAACGACAAAATTTTTAGATTTTTTGTCAAATTTTCTAGGGGACCCCCTTCGAAGTGTTGAAAAATGTAAGGGAGGACAATATGGCCCCCTGCGATGACTGTATCTTTGTCAAAAATCATCCGATTCTTAAGCAGAATACCTTAAACGATTTGTGATCCGATTCTTAATCATTTTGCATCAAAATCTAGGAACGAAAAAATTTTTAGATTTTTTATCAAATTTTCTAGGGGACCCCCTTCGAAATGTTGAAAAATGTAAGGAAGGACAATATGGCCCCCTGCGATGACTGTATCTTTGTCAAAAATCATCCGATTCTTAAGCGGAATACCTTAAACGATTTGTGACCCGATTCTTAATAATTTTGCATCAAAATCTAGGAACGAAAAATTTTTCAGATTTTTTGTCAAATTTTCTAGTGGACCCCCTTCGAAATGTTGAAAAATGTAAGGGAGGACAATATGGTCCCTTACGATGACTGCATCTTTGTCAAAAATCATCCGATTCTTAAGCAGAATACCTTAAACGATTTGTGATCCGATTCTTAATAATTTTGCATCAAAATCTAGGAACGAAAAATTTTTTAGATTTTTTTTTCAAATTTTCTAGGGGACCCACTTCGTAATGTTGAAAAATGTAAGGGAGGACAATATGGTCCCTTACGATGACTGTATCTTTGTCAAAAATCATCCGATTCTTAAGCGGAATACCTTAAACGATTTGTGATCCGATTCTTAATAATTTTGCATCAAAATCTAGGAACGAAAAATTTTTCAGATTTTTTGTCAAATTTTCTAGTGGACCCCCTTCGAAATGTTGAAAAATGTAAGGGAGGACAATATGGTCCCTTACGATGACTGCATCTTTGTCAAAAATCATCCGATTCTTAAGCAGAATACCTTAAACGATTTGTGATCCGATTCTTAATCATTTTGCATCAAAATCTAGGAACGACAAAACTTTTAGATTTTTTGTCAAATTTTCTAGTGGACCCCCTTCGAAATGTTGAAAAATGTAAGGGAGGACAATATGGCCCCCTGCAATGACTATATCTTTGTCAAAAATCATCCGATCCTAAGCGGAATACCTTAAACGATTTGTGATCCTGAAATGTAAGGGAGGACAATATGGCCCCCTGCAATGACTATATCTTTGTCAAAAATCATCCGATTCTTAAGCGGAATACCGTAAACAATTTGTGATCCGATTCCTAATAATTTTGCATCAAAATCTAGGAACGAAAATTTTATTAGATTTTTTGTCAAATTTTCTAGTGGACCCCCTTCGAAATGTTGAAAAATGTAAGGGAGGACAATATGGTCCCTTACGATGACTGCATCTTTGTCAAAAACCATCCGATTCTTAAGCGGAATACCGTAATCGATTTGTGATCCGATTCCTAATAATTTTGCATCAAAATCTAGAAACGACAAAATTTTTAGATTTTTTGTCAAATTTTCTAGGGGACCCCCTTCGAAGTGTTGAAAAATGTAAGGGAGGACAATATGGCCCCCTGCGATGACTGTATCTTTGTCAAAAATCATCCGATTCTTAAGCAGAATACCTTAAACGATTTGTGATCCGATTCTTAATCATTTTGCATCAAAATCTAGGAACGAAAAATTTTTTAGATTTTTTTTTCAAATTTTCTAGGGGACCCCCTTCGAAATGTTGAAAAATGTAAGGAAGGACAATATGGCACAATAAGCGGAATACCGTAAGGAATTAGTGAGCCGATTCTTAATCATTTTGCATCAAAATCTAGGAACGAAAAAATTTTTAGATTTTTTATCAAATTTTCTAGGGGACCCCCTTCGAAATGTTGAAAAATGTAAGGGAGGACAATATGGCCCCCTGCAATGACTATATCTTTGTCAAAAATCATCCGATTCTTAAGCGGAATACCGTAAACAATTTGTGATCCGATTCCTAATAATTTTGCATCAAAATCTAGGAACGAAAATTTTATTAGATTTTTTGTCAAATTTTCTAGTGGACCCCCTTCGAAATGTTGAAAAATGTAAGGGAGGACAATATGGTCCCTTACGATGACTGCATCTTTGTCAAAAACCATCCGATTCTTAAGCGGAATACCGTAATCGATTTGTGATCCGATTCCTAATAATTTTGCATCAAAATCTAGGAACGAAAAAATTTTTAGATTTTTTATCAAATTTTCTAGGGGACCCCCTTCGAAATGTTGAAAAATGTAAGGAAGGACAATATGGCCCCCTGCGATGACTGTATCTTTGTCAAAAATCATCCGATTCTTAAGCGGAATACCTTAAACGATTTGTGACCCGATTCTTAATAATTTTGCATCAAAATCTAGGAACGAAAAATTTTTTAGATTTTTTTTTCAAATTTTCTAGGGGACCCCCTTCGTAATGTTGAAAAATGTAAGGGAGGACAATATGGTCCCTTACGATGACTGTATCTTTGTCAAAAATCATCCGATTCTTAAGCGGAATACCGTAAGGGATTAGTGAGCCGATTCTTAATCATTTTGCATCAAAATCTAGAAACGACAAAATTTTTAGATTTTTTGTCAAATTTTCTAGGGGACCCCCTTCGAAGTGTTGAAAAATGTAAGGGAGGACAATATGGCCCCCTGCGATGACTGTATCTTTGTCAAAAATCATCCGATTCTTAAGCAGAATACCTTAAACGATTTGTGATCCGATTCTTAATCATTTTGCATCAAAATCTAGGAACGAAAAAATTTTTAGATTTTTTATCAAATTTTCTAGGGGACCCCCTTCGAAATGTTGAAAAATGTAAGGAAGGACAATATGGCCCCCTGCGATGACTGTATCTTTGTCAAAAATCATCCGATTCTTAAGCGGAATACCTTAAACGATTTGTGACCCGATTCTTAATAATTTTGCATCAAAATCTAGGAACGAAAAATTTTTTAGATTTTTTTTTCAAATTTTCTAGGGGACCCCCTTCGTAATGTTGAAAAATGTAAGGGAGGACAATATGGTCCCTTACGATGACTGTATCTTTGTCAAAAATCATCCGATTCTTAAGCGGAATACCGTAAGGGATTAGTGAGCCGATTCTTAATCATTTTGCATCAAAATCTAGGAACGAAAAAATTTTTAGATTTTTTATCAAATTTTCTAGGGGACCCCCTTCGAAATGTTGAAAAATGTAAGGAAGGACAATATGGCCCCCTGCGATGACTGTATCTTTGTCAAAAATCATCCGATTCTTAAGCGGAATACCTTAAACGATTTGTAATCCGATTCTTAATAATTTTGCATCAAAATCTAGGAACGAAAAATTTTTCAGATTTTTTGTCAAATTTTCTAGTGGACCCCCTTCGAAATGTTGAAAAATGTAAGGGAGGACAATATGGTCCCTTACGATGACTGCATCTTTGTCAAAAATCATCCGATTCTTAAGCAGAATACCTTAAACGATTTGTGATCCGATTCCTAATAATTTTGCATCAAAATCTAGAAACGACAAAATTTTTAGATTTTTTGTCAAATTTTCTAGGGGACCCCCTTCGAAGTGTTGAAAAATGTAAGGGAGGACAATATGGCCCCCTGCAATGACTATATCTTTGTCAAAAATCATCCGATCCTAAGCGGAATACCTTAAACGATTTGTGATCCTGAAATGTAAGGGAGGACAATATGGCCCCCTGCAATGACTATATCTTTGTCAAAAATCATCCGATTCTTAAGCGGAATACCGTAAACAATTTGTGATCCGATTCCTAATAATTTTGCATCAAAATCTAGGAACGAAAATTTTATTAGATTTTTGTCAAATTTTCTAGTGGACCCCCTTCGAAATGTTGAAAAATGTAAGGGAGGACAATATGGTCCCTTACGATGACTGCATCTTTGTCAAAAACCATCCGATTCTTAAGCGGAATACCGTAAACGATTTGTGATCCGATTCCTAATAATTTTGCATCAAAATCTAGAAACGACAAAATTTTTAGATTTTTTGTCAAATTTTCTAGGGGACCCCCTTCGAAGTGTTGAAAAATGTAAGGGAGGACAATATGGCCCCCTGCGATGACTGTATCTTTGTCAAAAATCATCCGATTCTTAAGCAGAATACCTTAAACGATTTGTGATCCGATTCTTAATCATTTTGCATCAAAATCTAGGAACGACAAAATTTTTAGATTTTTTGTCAAATTTTCTAGGGGACCCCCTTCGAAATGTTGAATAATGAGGACAATATGGCCCCCTGCGATGACTGTATCTTTGTCAAAAATCATCCGATTCTTAAGGTATTCCGCACCTTAAACGAATTGTGAGCCGATTCTTTAATAATTTTGAGATCAATTTTTATCCATTTATCATCAGAATGTAGAGATAACACATTGTGTCGATTTTCTGCCACATTGTAAAAAAAAATCTAGAAAGAACAATAGCGCCCATTGGTGGTTACATATATCGAACCAAAAACAGTTTTGAAATTAAACCAAATTTACAATTTTTGAAAAAGAAAATGACGAGCTATGTTTTAATTGCAGAAAAGGATCCTGGTGCTGATATGGACATGTCGGGAGTGTACAGCTCAAAAGCGGATTGGGGCGCCCAGTTTCGAGCACCCTCGACGCTGCAGTCCTTCGGCGGGAACGGGGGCATAGTGAACGGAGCTAATCCCAACGGGCTGACCAAAAAACAGGAGATGATGGTGCGCAGCGCCATCAAGTACTGGGTGGAGCGGCACAAGCACGTCGTGCGGTGAGTAGAGCCCCTGGAAAATTGTAAAACCAAAATGTAAGAGGGCTCTGGGTACTTTGAGGAAGTAAATGCGGATGCAGAGTGCGGTAAAACCATTTGCTGGGATTGCATCTCTGGGTACTCTAATGGGTTGTGCGGTGTGGCTTTTTTCTGGTCTGAAAAGTCCTTGCCCTCAAATCTAATTGCAATCAACTGATGAAGAGTTGCACACAATACCTACACTTTGAGAATTTTTAGTCAGCTTCCTATAAGGGCCATATATTTTGCAGGGTCCAGGCCTTAGTTGGTTCAATATATATTAATGAGATTATATTCGGTTTTATGAGAAAGATTTTTAGTCATATTAAGTAATTTTAATTTTGCAAAAACTTCAACTGATGAATAGTTTGAAATACCGTCTGGGGCACCTATTACGATTTCAAAGTTTTCAGCAGCTTGTTTGATTTACTTGATTATTTCCTCAAATGCAATCATTGTTGACGACACTGAAAGAAGGACTTCTGAGTTGGGGGACCCAGGGGACATGCCCTTATTTATTCTGCCGACAGCAGTTGGCTTAGTTAGTTGTGTGATTGTGGCTACGGGTGGTTGTTGACCAACTGATTGACTTGAGACCCTCTGTTTTGCTTTTGCATCAAGCCTGGTTGCTGCCATTGGCGATACCTACGGAGCTGCTCTACTGCTGCACATGTTGACCTCAACAATCAAGCTGACCCTGTTAGCCTACCAAGCTACCAAAATCACTGGAGTGAATGTCTACGCCTTCACGGTTATTGGATACCTGGGCTATGCCCTGGCTCAGGTGTTTCACTTTTGTATTTTCGGCAATCGTCTGATTGAAGAGGTGAGTTTCTACTGTTAGTAAGTATGCAAAATAAAAAAAAAAAATAGAAAAATAAGTAATAGCTATAAAGCTAAATATTGCTTAACAAAAAATCTTTCACATTTTTACTTTTTAAATCCTAAAGAAGAAATTAGTTTACTGAAGTTCAACTATAGCTCCCCACGCTTATTCCCAATCCATATTTTCATATTTCACAGAGCTCATCTGTCATGGAGGCTGCTTACTCCTGCCATTGGTACGATGGCTCCGAGGAGGCCAAAACCTTTGTCCAGATCGTTTGCCAGCAATGCCAGAAGGCCATGAGCATATCGGGTGCAAAGTTTTTCACCGTCTCCCTGGATTTGTTTGCCTCGGTATGTTGCAACCAATCACCAGGCAATGGAAATATAAATCACAATTCATTGAAATTGTTTTTTTTCTCAACTTTCTCAGGTTCTCGGTGCAGTTGTCACCTACTTCATGGTGCTGGTGCAGCTCAAGTAAGCTGTCGCCAGAGTTGAAAAATTGTGTGTGCCAGGAGGAAAGCGATTGCCAAGGACCCAGAGTGCTAAACCGACCCATCCAACCCCGTTATAGTGCCCATTACCTCCCCACCACACTTCTCTGCAATCAGCAATATTATAGAGCAATTATAACGCAAATTATATATTTTATACCGACGCTGAGGAACCTGTGGGACATCATGGAAACATACTGGGGCAAATAGAAGCCAGCAAATATTTATCGATTTTGTACACGTGTAGAGCTTTCAATGTAAACTCAAAATGCTAACAAAATAAATGTGTAGTGACGATGCAAGGATGTGAATATAAATGGGGTGGTTATTAAAAAAAAAGTTTAATATATTTGAAGTTAACTATTTAAATGATTTATGTTTTAAAATTATTGGCACTTTTAATAGCTTTAGTGTTTGATAACCAGAACTATGTTCTCTCTTTTGGATGCAACTCTAATGCATTATAATCCTATTATTAAATTATAATCCTATAATGAATAGCCCTCATTAAATAGACACGTGTGTAATGGACTTAATGGCCCAGACTGAGATATCACGACTCACTGACTTGCATGCCTGCAGCTTTTCTCGTCAGATGTGCAAAACGAAGTTAATTGAATTTGAATTATAAATTCAAATCTCTCGTCCCGACCATATTAGTTTTGCTCTAAGGAGCTGCTTTTTGGCAGGCACAACCGTTGCTGAAATAATGAGTTAGCTTTGCAAAATAACAAAATAAGAAAATAAGCAAGCTTAAAACAATCATCCGCAATTGCAGGCAACAATTAAACGAAATGTGGCAAAAATTAAATTCGGAATCACACTTATGTGTGTGAATCTCCACATAGCCATATATGTTTACTGCTCTTATGTGTGCATATATATATATTTTTGCGTTTTGAAAGCGCACTTTATAGTTTTTCAAATTGCCCAACTGGGCTGAGTTGAAACTGAACCAACACAACAAGAAAACGCTACACAACGCGAACTTTTAATGCGGCCACGCTCTGTACATTCGGGCAAAGTTTTTATTTCTTGCAGCTTTCATAAAACAAAAACGAAAAGCGAACTGAAAAGTGACTATAACTAAAACTGCGCCGAGAGTGTGAGTCAGGTGAGGTAAGATGAGGTGGAGCGTAGAAGTATCCGCCAGATACTGCCACCACACTTGCCCCCCCAGCACACCCTTCAGCGCTACCTCTTCCCGCTCAACCGCTTCTTACTGTTAATTTCTTTATTGCGCAGACTTTCGTCTGCCAATGAAAGTTTCTTGACTTTGGAAATGCAACAACAATAATAAAACTACTTAATTTATAAGTCTATGGTTTAATTAGTTTTCTTTCCTTCGTGTCTTGTTTTTTGTGCTCGTGCGGGGCCACGGAGGGAAGCAACATCTTCCTGTTCTTGTCTGCACTTTTAATTATCTATGCGAATTTTTCAGCCCCATTTGTCAATGGCCAGCGCGATTTCTTTTCAAGTTTTCAATTTGGCATTTAGCGAACAAAGTAATTAACATACCAGCATACCATACCATACATTTTACCATTCCACTGTGTTTAATGTCATTTTTATAGAGCCCTAAGTACATTACCACTTTGTTTTACATAATTCTACTTGTTGAAAGCAATTGTTATTTTTAGGTGACTGTCCATTATATTAATGGTGAAATTAGGCAACAATGTCTTAATATACATAAGTGGTTCATAAAATGTTCAAAATTATTCAAAATGTTTTGGAAACATTATACGTATCTAAAAATAATGAATTTACATATGTTATTTATGAAAGTGTTACTTATATTGTTTAAAGTTTTTAAATAAAAAAGTAACTTGTCCTGGATCGACGTATATTTAAAATTTGATTTATGCAAAAGTTATGCAATTTATATTCCCTAATTTTATGTCCCTAAACACATAACACTTTTGATGTAAAAAGATAAACTGAGTACTAAAAGGGTAAAACATCTAAATCTTCAAACATATCACAGAAGCTTGTAAAAGTTTCATTAATGTTTTGATTAGATACATACTTTTATAACTTAATAATATATACAACGCACTCAAAGAAATATAAACTCTTTAGTTTTTCCTGTTGACCCTAACCGTTAACATTTAATTTCTTAGTTAAAGAAAAGGTATCGGCACGCTTTTTTAGTTGGCAACATTTTTGCATTCGTCTTGATTTTTATTGCCACATCTGGTCGCGTCTCGCATTGTTTGCTTTAGAAAAGGGGCAGCCCAAGTTCAATGCATGCAAAGTCAAAGTCGGAACCCTCCGCCTTCTTCTCTGGGGCCCCTCCACAACCCCCTTACGGGGATAATAATTGCTAGCAATCAGCTAGTGGAACAATAAAAGCCAAAAACAACAAAATCTAAAGACGGAAAATAAAAGCAACACGAGCAAAACGCAATGCAAACCAAGACAACGTTATGGAAAATGTTCATTTTCATTTAAATGAAAATGAGGAAACGGCCGACAAGTTCAACGACTCACAACTGCTTAGTAAGAGGTAAAAACTCTCAATCCAAATCCAACTCCAATTCCATGTGCACTAAATTGCTTAATTGTGAAATGTTGAAAAAATATAAAGAAACAATTATGACAGAAATTATTTCGGCAAACCAGCGAATAATGCAATTTCGAGCCAATAGATTGGCCCACACACATATCTAAACGAAAGTTCATAATTTACTTTCGGCACGCACTTCGATCCATGTGAGTTTTCTTGGGGGGCGTGGCACTGCCTACCATAATCAGATTTTCTTGCCGATCCAATAGAACGAAAGACTGAAGACACGAACTTGGGTTTGCAACTCCGGTAATGATTATGCACAAAAATATTGTATTGTTGTTTTTTTTATTTTCAACAGGTATAAATCTGTGTAACTTTAAAATAAATACATTTTTGTTAATATTTTATTGAAAACAACTTTTTTCAAGTTAAAATTGGAATTTGGTTCCAAAAAGGGTAAACGTCGAACTTGGTTTTTTATAAGATAGAAATATATATGGGGTTTGATTTTTTGCCTGATGTGATGGGGATAATGGACATTGTCTGGTGTTGGATACTGATTGGCGTGGCTGGATGATCAGCAGCGGAGCGTGGCCAGTCTGCGCCGCTCATTGAACTTCTCTTGCGCAAATGGCGAGCCGGCGGCCCCTTTCCACCTCCTCCTGCTGGTCCTCCGAGGAGCCAGCGTGTGCATTTTTCTCTTTGACCGATTTTCATGGCATGATCTGTTTTACGGCTTTCGGTTTTCTTTTGCCATTTGTTGTTGTCGCAATCGTGGGGCCCGAACCGCAATCGGATATATTCGTGGATCATCGTATTCGTCTTCGCTGATCGTTCGTGAGTATTTAAGTGGCTCCAAACGTGTTTGCAGACATTCAGTTTCAGTTAACGTCTTGAGCGCTTCGGTTTACCACTGTTGCTCATACGCCGCGTTGCCCGCTGGATATATCAAATAAAGGATTACCTCTGACCACTAACTAACCAACACTCATTCTAATCAAGGTGAGCAAACTCCACATCCCAGACAATAAAAATATACACGCCCCCGTATTCGGGGTTCCATTGACTTGTCAAGCGTAGGATAATGCGTGGAATTTAAATGAGTGTGCCGAACAATATTCGCGGTGAAGTGAAATACAAAAGAAGTTGAGGAATTGTGAGTCCATCCATTGCAGCGTAATAAATTCGACAAGAGAACAATAACTTGCATCGGAATTGTGCGAATAACTCAATTTGAATGCCAGATAATAATAAGGAAGGCGATTTATGTTGTCCAACAATGGCTGTTGACACTTTAAAAGAATGCATAATATCTCCAAATATTTGCTGAGTTTTTAACTTGAATTGAAGAAAAATATTCATTGACGGGGAGTGTCTTACAGTTTTTGATAAGAGGAGTAATAAAGTGTTGCCTTTTCCCATTTTTAAATAAAAGATAAAATAATGAGCCATAAAATTACACCTTCCATTTTTAAAGAGAATTTCGGTGAATAAGCTCTAAATATATAAATTCTTTTAAATAACTTTTTAACTCACCAGCTAGGTTATAATTTTTTGAAATATTTGGTAGCTTTTTTTAATTTAAATTAATTTAAAAGGATTATTGTTCATAATTAAACAAACTACTAAGACCGTATCACTACCATATAATATTATTACATTAAACCCTTTCGTAAGATAATTTACTGGAACCCATTTAAAAAGCTTACCTTTTTTAAATTCTTCTTTAAAAATATGTTCACATAGTGTGACATACCCACTTGTTTACAAGCTATTTCCTAAAGCACTTAAATGCTACCCGCGACGGATGCCAAAATTCTTAAAAAGCCAACATTACCAAACAAATAGGTAAACAGAATTATTTTAATGACAGCAAATGGCATAGGTAGAGAGGCAGAAGATAAAACCTGAAAGATACAGAAACCGAAAGCACTTTAACTGGAGCCGAAAGATCTAAAAAAGAAAAATAAGTTAATATAACTCGTTTGTGTCCGTTTTTCCAAACTCTTGGCCGCTTGATTTTCGTTTCTTTGTATTTTGAGCCGTTTTGTTTTGCTGAAGATTTTCGCAATATTTGCAATTGAGTTCCAGGCAAGAAGGTAAAACTCGCAATAACTATTAGTGCAACAACAAGACAACAAGAGCTGCTGTGGCAACAACACTAACCACACACAACAGTGTGCACACTGAGCAATTTGAGTGTGGCCGTGCCTCCTCCAGTAATTGCAATTCTAACAGGTTGCAAGTTGCAACTGCAACTGAAGTTGCATTTACAGCCGGTTGTTGCCACCACTCGCAGCATGTGCAGCACACTTATTCCGTATATCACGCAGCCAGACTCAAATATACTCTCGGTCTCTGGCTCATTTCGAGAGCTTTTCCTCTTACCAGCGTCCATTCCAGCTGCTGCAACTGACCTCAATGAGCTCGGTGTCTGTGGTGTTGCAAATTTGATAAATATACCCATTGCCGCAAAAATAAGCCTTTGTGTGATTTTACAAATCCCTCATCAATTCTGCCAAATGGCCAGAAGAAATCGGTCATTCAGTAAGGAGTTTGTCATGGGAAAAATATAATCCTTTGCTTACTTTTGTCATTAACGAATGAGCCTAATTAAACTTTGACCGATTAGAAGAGATTTATAGACTCCAAGCCCCTTGGGAATGTCAATTATCTCATGACAATAAGATGAAAATTATGAAGAAAATTATTAAGACGCAGAAACAAAAGTAAACAATATGAAAAGTATGCCCCAATGACCAGCAAAGCGTTTAAGCCAAAAAATAATACCTAGCCACTTATTCTGCTGGAATTACTATCTTGAAGTCAAGTGACTTTGGCCCGTTATGGCCCGAGCTTCCCTTATTATATTTAAAAACATATTCGCTTACTTAAATGGCACAAATAGCTATCGTACGTACTAGTTACTAACCTACACCTACAATGAAATTCGCTGAACCAAACCAAAACCCAATAAAACAACAGGGCCATGAAATGTTTTTGGGTCGGTGTCAGCGGCTTTCGTTGTGGGCCCTTACGCAAATTTTGTACCTCTGCTCTTTGCACACCAGCCCGCCGCGGTGGAGAAGTGGGATGGCGTAAGGGGCGTGGCCGGAGTAATGCATATTTGGCCATAGCCCAAGCTAATGAATCGAGTCAGTGACGTGTGACCGCAAGCCTTAAAAGTACTAAAGACGAACGTTTTGAAAGCGCGCAATTAAAATGTCAAAAATAATCAGATATTTTGTATTACGCATTAAATGGTGTGGCGAAAGAGGAGGTGAAATAAAGGGGTTTCTAATTATTTATTTATTTTTTAATTTCGAGACCTTAGCTTTGTGAAGCTTTATTTTTTGAGTTTGCATTCAATGGGTATCTGAACATATTTCTTATTTATTTATTGTATATTTATTCTTTTCTTAGATGATGATGCTACACCCCACACCCGACCAGCGCGTGAGCATCCGCGAGGAGCTCCGCGAACCTGAGGATCCAGCAGATATTGAGCGGGACATCAAGCTGATCCGCGAGTGGCTGGAGACACAGCCGCATCTGCCCAAGGACATGGATGACATGCGCCTAACAACCTTCCTGCGCGGCTGCAAGTTCAGCCTGGAGAAGGTCAAGAAGAAGCTGGACATGTACTACACTATGCGCAACGCTGTGCCGGAGTTCTTCTCCAACCGGGATATTAACCGCGAGGAGCTTAACATTGTTTTGGACTATGTGTAAGTAAAAATTATGATATTCTGATAGGGTAACTATGACTAAAAATGTATTATTTTATTAGGCACTGCCCTACCTTGCCGGGCATCACCCCCAACGGACGCCGCATCACTTTCATCCGTGGCATCGACTGTGATTTCCAGCCGCACCACATCCTGGACGCCATGAAGGTTGCATTGATGATTGGCGATGTGCGCCTGGCGGAGGAGAGCGTTGGCATTGCCGGTGACATTTTCATCCTGGATGCGGCTGTGGCCAGTGCTTCCCACTTTGCCAAGTTCTCGCCAACGGTGGTGAAGAAATTCCTGATTGCCGTTCAGGAGGCATACCCTGTGAAGGTGAAGGAAGTGCATGTGATCAACATCTCGCCCCTGGTGGACACCATCTTCAACTTTGTCAAGCCCTTCGTGAAGGAGAAGATCCGCAGCCGTATCACCTTCCACAACGACGTGGAGAGCCTCTACAAGGTGGTGCCCCGTGACCTCCTGCCCAACGAGTACGGCGGCAAGGCCGGAGGCATCGTTGAGCTCAACCAGTGGTGGAAGCAGAAGCTGGCCGACAACACCAAGTGGTTCAAGGAGCAGGAGGATAAGAAGGCCAACGAGTCGCTTCGCCCCGGAGCCCCTAAGACCACAGACGATTTGTTTGGAATGGAGGGCACCTTCCGCCAGCTAAACATCGACTAGGCTCGTTGTCCTTACCCCAAATCCCAGCCAGCTTGTCTAACCGTGTATATTAGCCGCTCATTGTTTAGTCCAAGCTCATGTGCATGACTCTTGCTTAAATGCTTCATTTTCTCGCCAGAACCCATTGTTATTTTAACTTTATGTTTCTCATCAGTACATTTCAGTAATTACAATAAAGAATCAGCAGCATATTAAGGAATGAATAAATAAAAACAATTTTTGTTTAACTTCATAAAGTTACAGGGCATCAGGACATTTGCAAAAAAATGAGCCCCTTAAAGGCTTATAAAAACTTCATTCCCTTGGATTTTCTTGTCAGTTCTAATAAATATATGACAAAAATTACACGTTACATCGTAGGGAAATATTTGTGGGAAAGTGTACAAATTTCAGGCCTTTTTACAGGTGAAAAAGAGCATTTTTTTAAACTTAATTTATTTTATTTTAGAGAAAATTTATTTATAGGGCCGTGTCATTCGTCCTTCAAGTATTCTAAGCATTTCATATAGCGAATCAAGATGCCTATGTCTGTTGAAAGACCCACTCGTGGAAAAAAAATCGTGCCCTTAAAGTTGTCCAAAATTCATCCAGAGATTGAGCCTGCAAGGCCAAATCTGAATAACTCGGAGGACCTGAAGCAGAGGCTATCAACTCTGCAAAACAGGGTCAACGATTGGAAAGCCTTTCACAAGCAAGAAACGGAAATGAATCTAAATTTATGGAAACACCAAATGCATAAATTTTAAGCTATAATTTAATGAATTAAAATGCCATCCCCTCATATTAATAGAGCGTACTTCTTTCTTTATTTTAAGATACATACATATAAATTGTCAGGAAAATTAAGAAATAAATGAATAAAAAGAATATGGGTCAGACTTAATGACCAACAAGAAGTGAAGTAGGTGAAGGATGGCTGCCATAGCCAAAGGAAGCATTTCTCCACGAACGACCCATTAAAATAATGGCCAACGGAAAGGGACTGATGCAGTGACTGGCCGATGCTTGATTGCAACTGCCACAATGCCACCCAACCACAGGCACATACACATACTGGAATGCATGAGCATATTTCACTCGTCGCATGTCGCCACTTTGTGCAACATGCACGTTGATGGAGGAAACGGAAACTTGTCGCATCTCGGTGGGCGGACCTGGAATTGTATGGAGTAAGGGAAGCCGGAAGGGCAGCATCTGAAGTAGCAGATTCCACCCAGCTGACTTATTCCTCTGACATATTGGTTCCGTTGCCATTGTTGTGTGCGCATTTCGGCGTATGAAATCAAGTGTTGCCAACATATCGCAGTCACGACTATACTCGGACATGGTCAACTGGCTTTCAATGTAAAGCGCTTTTGCCCCTCGCTCTGTGGCAGGGTTTATTCGGAATTGATGGTCCGGGCCAGCGTAGGAATTGTTAGGAATTTGTTTGAATGGCTGGATGGCCAAGTGGCGTTATGATTTCTTAAGCCCCTCTTACCAAACTTCTTAAATCCAGTATTGACCAACTCCGAAGTAAGAGTATTATTTTAATAGGAAATTTATATGAAAAGACTATAATAAATATAAGTGATTTTTTATTCATTAATTGAGTTATTTTCACTTTCAAATCATTATTTAAAGTTTTCAACTTGATAAATTATTCTCTCAACTATTCAGGACCTGATGTGAATAATGTATTAATGGTCTTTTTATTGGAATAAAAAATCTACAATTGTCTATAATTTAAGTTTTGTTTAGTTTTATCCATATAATTTAAAAGTTTATTGTATCTTAGCCATGAAATCCTAATAGCTATAAAAGGGTTAGCCAAGACATTTAGAACAAAAGTAAAAGCCATGAAGGAAGAAACAGAAAATAATCTTTTTAAACGACAGGATCTGTTTGTATTTGTCCGCCAGACTATGTGCATTGCGGCCATGTACCCGTTTGGATATTACTTCAATTTTTCTGGAATATTTTCAGGGCTGATAAGAGTCCTGGATGTACTGTACGAGCTTTTCAACTACTTTGTGTCTGTGCATATAGCTGCTTTGTTCATGTGCACTATATATCTAAACTACGGAAAAGGAGACCTCGACTTCTTTGTAAACTGTTTGATTCAGACCATCATTTATTCGTGGATGATAGCCATGAAACTATACTTTCGACGCTTTAGACCTGCATTGCTAGACGAAATTATGAAATATATCAATGAAAAATATGAACCAAGATCGGCCATTGGATTTAGTTATGTGACTATGGACGGATCTTATAGGATGTCTAGGTTGTGGATTAAAACCTATGTGTATTGCTGCTACATTGGTACTATCTTTTGGTTAGCACTGCCTATAGCTTACAGGGATAAGAGCCTGCCCCTGGCTTGTTGGTATCCTTTCGATTATACGGTAAGTTTTCTGAAATTATTTCTACCAAATAGTTTAAAAATTCTTTTACAGGAACCTGGGGTTTATGAGGTAGTATTCCTTCTACAGGCTGTGGGCCAGATTCAGGTAGCGGCTACCTTTGCATCATCAAGTGGCTTGCACATGATATTTTGTATCCTAATGTCAGGACAATACGACGTCCTTTTCTGCAGCTTGAAGAATGTTTTGGCCACCAGTTACGTGAGAATGGGAGTCAGTCTGTCAGAAATGAGGTGGGTTTATTTTAATTCAAGTTTACCTTTTAATTATTCTATTAATATTCTATTAAAAACATTATTAACAGACAATTCGAAGCTGAGCAATCGGTTTCCGATGCCGAACCAAGTCAGTACACCTTCTCTTTGGAGCTACAGAGTCCCCTCGAGCAGCTTTTACAAGAGAATCCGAAATCTGATGACTCTCCAGATTTTTCCAGGGCTTTCCGGGATAGCTTTATACGATGCGTTTACCATCATCGGTACATTATATCCGTACTAAAGAAAATGGAGCAATTCTACAGCCCGATTTGGTTTTTGAAAATCGGCGAGGTAACTTTTCTCATGTGTCTGGTGGCCTTTGTTTCGACAAAGAGTACCACCGCGAATTCCTTTATGCGAATGGTTTCTTTGGGCCAGTATTTGATCCTTGTGCTTTACGAGCTGTTTGTCATTTGCTACTTTGCGGAAATTGTCTACCAGAATAGTCAACGATGTGGCGAGGCCCTCTGGAGGAGTCCCTGGCAGAGGCACTCGCGGGAGGTGCGAAGTTATTACATGTTCTTTATGTTGAACTCCCGTAAACAATTCCAGTTGACCGCTGGAAAAATAACTAACCTAAATTTGGAACGTTTTCGAGGGGTGAGGGCCAAGGCAACACTTGTTTTTAATTAGGACTAATTTATATTCTTTTTAGACCATCACTACAGCCTTCTCTTTTCTAACATTACTGCAAAAGATGGACGCACGAGGCTAAAAAACAATTCCAGTTTTTGGTTTTACTTTTATTTGTATAGGTATTATAGAAAAATCATCGTTTTAATAATGGAATAAAAATATTTAAAGAAGGCAGCGCATTATACATTTTTTACTTTGGCAATCATACTCTCGTACAGAGCGCTACGAAACTATGAGGCATTTGTTCAAAAATCGCATTTAAAAAGGGGAGAATAATAAAAAAAGTTGGCTTAATCGAACAAAATCTTCTTTGAGTGGAACTTTTATTTAAATCCAGTTAAAGTCCAAATCATAAAATCATTAAAAGCTTTATAATCGGTAATCGCTCTATAAATTATAGAAGATACGAGTATAATACACTATAGCCGTGTCATAAATCTTATCAAATGCAAATTTATGCAAGTTATAAAGTTCTCTCGGCACAAATGATTTACGGCTCTATACGTGCTACACTGTATGAGTCACATATAAACCTTATAAACACAAAAAGTTAAGTTCTAATTTTGATCTAGCTTTTAAATTGCAGTTTACTAATCTCGTGTTTCACAAATTAAGCCAACACCTTTTGCGGCTCACAGAATAACTTTTTATTTGAACAAAGATAAAAGAAACTCTTTCGCTTGACGGTTAAATAAATATTCATCTGCATTATTGCATTATTAAGACTAAAAGCAAATTAAATCATATACATTTATAAGGTACTTGGGTTAACTCTTCAACGCCCTACCTCGCATTCGCCTCAATCACTCCAGTCGCGATGTTCCCCACATTCGTGTTAACTATATTTGAGCAAGTAAGATGCTTAACAAATTTTTGTTTCCTCTTGGTTTACTCACAATATTGTGCTTGGCATTTTGTACAGTATCAAAAATTGTTTTGTTACATGCTTTCCATTCTGGCCAAATACTACAATTTTCTCTTTGTTTTTTTGTTTCTTTTTTTTTTTATATATTAAATATACATTAGGCAAATGATCTTACACTTGCTTACAATTAGTTAATAGTTTAGCCCTTCATTTTGATTTTATAAAAATGTACAATGGGTTTTGTTTTTTGTTCTCAATCGAGCATTTCATCGGCAGATATTCATTATTACCTATGCACATATCTGCTTGCATATACATTTTGAAGTATATGCTCAGTTGACAACTTAAATATGTTGTATTACCGGTAATTATTATCAAAAAAATATATGTACGATTATTATTTATGCATCCTATAATCATTTCCCATTCCTATATCCCTTGTAGCGACTTTGTTGCGATCTTTTGTTAAATTTTTTTTGTTTATATATTACACAAAGCATAACAAGGCGAGCAGCCAAGACAACAGCAAAGCCAACAACATCAAGGCAGACAGGGCAATAATTTGCAATTGTTGCCGATTTTGATAAATGCAATGAGTGAGTTGTTGCTTTTGGTGTTGACATTGTTGCTCCCGTTTGTGCTGTACATTCCACATAGGGTTGCTTGTGCTATGGACTGAGTATATGACATTCCTGTTGCTGCTCACTTTGGCCGTTATTTGTTGTGCTTGTTGTTGTCGGTGTATTTGCTGTTGCTGTTGCTTCTGCTGCCGTGGCTTCTTGCTGTTGACTAGTTGGAGTCGCTTGCATCGCTAGCTTGCGAGCGAGTGCGCCGTACTCGTGCTGTTGTCGTGATTATAGTGCTCGGTGTTGACGATCACTTGCACCACATAGCCCTGGTGTATGCTGCACTCGTCGATGGGCACCTTGTCGCCCAACAGTTTGCCGCTGTAGAACCAGCGTTGGCAGCAGGCATCCACTCCTTCGGCGGCCTAAAATTGCATCAAATGTTATACAAGTTGTTCTAGTTATAATAACCTAACCACTTACCTGTAATTTCTTTTTGCACTGTCCGATTGTATCCTTGGAATACACCGGCAGTTTAACATCAGTCATATTTGATGATATGCGCAGCTTTAAAAAGATCTCGGTTCCGCCATCCACTGGCTCTGAGTATTCGGCAGGAGAATCGCGTCCATTCTCCTCCTTAACGATATTAATGGGATATGACAGACAGTAAATGGGCACTTTGTATTGGGTGCCCAGCTCATCGTAACACTCTGTGAGGTAGCTGCAAAAATAGTAATGAACTCGCTCAGTAACCAGGTGGGCCATCCTCTATTTATTATCTTATCATAAATCCAAGCCACCCCGAAAATACCATTAGTCAACCGAAGCCTAATACTAATGATTCAATGCCAAGTGGGGTAGGCAGTCAAATTGTCTGATAACGTTTGATAACGCCGGAATTACGTAGTCGAGAACCGCAGACATAGACGTCAAGCAAGGACATCGCTACATGCAACACGGAAAGTGGTGGAAAGGTCAGCAATGCATTATTATAAATATGGTCTACAGTCGTCAGCGAATCGTCCGTCGGTCGAATTGTCAGTCAAAAATCGATGTCTAATAAAAACTTTGGCTGGGGAATGGGTGTGAAAGTGGTTCGACACCAGAAATACCCTCCATGAGAGTTGTAAAGTAATTTTCTGAAAATAATTTACCATTAACTGATTGTGGGTAAATAAACAGGGGAGTGCAAACGAAACTTTTGTTAGAAAAGTAAGCTGATGATGGTAAACAACTTCACTAATGTGGTATTACTTTGCATTTAGTTACAAGAGTTCTTAAGAAACCTAATATCTTTTCAAGTTTGAATACAAAATATAGTAATTTATGAAAAACCCACTTAACTAAGCACTAAAATAACGTCAACTTAATTGGTTTTTCTTTTTTTTTCAACAAAAATCATTATGAATGCCCACCTTTATTTCAGGCTTCACGCGTCCGCACTCATCATAAATTTATACATTACCCCCCAAAGTATGAGTCTGGCAAAGGACACCATCAAATCGCTGTCATGCATACGGAGTTATGGCTACACAAAGCCCCCCGTATACATTATTGATTTTCCTGACCGTACGCGTACTCCGGTAGACGACGGCAATTAGCATGCAGCGTCATTAGCGGCCAGTACAGGATTGGGGCAACTTACCCATTGGGCACCGAGACGTTGGCTCCGTCCAGGATCGCCTGGGCCATTTGAAAGTCCAGGGCCTCGGCCGCGTTGGTGGCAGCCCGCAATGCGTCCCAAATCTCCTTGCGACCATCGAAAGCCGGCGCCGTGTCCCAGAACTCGTCTCGCTTTGAACGCAACTGGCCCTCGGTCAGCGGGACGTCAGAGCGCCAGCGTATAGTCTCGTGGCAAAGCGGGCGGTTTTTGCGCGCCGCGCCCAAGGCAATGCCTGCGATTAACGGGGCAAATTCAATACAGATATAGCAGTGATATAGGTGCCAAGGCCACTCACCTGCACTGGCCGGACGCGAGATGCTCGCAGATGAGACGCTCATCGTCTCGTTGTCGGGGTTCATACGACACACACAGGCGCCCATTGTCACGGATCGGCTTTTACGAGCAGTCGCACTCCGTTAAAAAGGATCTGCAGGCGTTAAATACGGATATTTAATTTATATATATATATATATGTACGTACATGCACCAATGTGTGCAAGTTCCGGAAAGACGGAAACTTACCTCCGCTCCGCCCCGCACAGCCGCCTTGTACGCCTGCTTCTGTCTGCTGTTGTGCTGTTCTCGTGTGCGTTGACTTGTGCTTGAATCTGTATATATTATGTATGCTTAGTTTCGAGTCGGGTGTTCTTTATTTTTATTATTGTTGCGCTGGTCTGCTTTGTATTTTTATTTTACCACAAACTCGCAGCGAATGACCAAGCCGCGAATCATGAATAAAACCCAGAAAAAGCGAAATTTTTAAATTTACCAGCCCTGGTAACAATTCCTTTTGGTATTTTTGGTATTTTTTTTAAATGCAGTTGGCAGCTCTTTGGCTTACTTGGCGGTTTCAAATTTAACTAAATCCAACTATACCCTTGCGATAGCTGTCAATATAAATTGTATAAATAGGCTGTAAGTTGCTGTAGAATGTTCGGAACGAAATATTTTAGGTAAGTAAAACTCATCTAGACATTTTAAATGTAAGTATTTATTGACTTAACTAAATGGAAATATTTAGATGCATTAGGAAAACCCCGCCTGGGGCTTGCTTCTCTTAATCTAGGTAAAAAAAAAAAGTATGGTGCTTTTGTTTATTTAAAAATGGGAAAAAAAACTATTTTAGTTTTGTTTATTTTAGTTTTATTATATTATATAGTTTATTACATTTATTAAACTATACATTTATTACACTCTTATTTTGAAATAATTATTTTTTGAACTAGTTCGAATGAACTCAGTGTCTGTGAGTTCGGTAATAATAGTCCCATCACCTTTGATAATGAATACAAATTATTTAAATTTTGCCGCCATTGTAAAAATGAGCTTAACATATTTAATGAAATGAAAAAAAAATTAGTATATAGTATAACAGTATAGTATAACAGGCAGTATAACAGTAAATAATGTCTCTAGAAACTTCTGGAATTCACCCTTTTTTAATAAACCTAAAGGATTCTATTATTGTCCATTTTATTTTGATTATGCTCTGTATGTACTATATGCACATGCACATGTAAAATGCATCAAGTATTTCCAGTTGCAACAAAAAATTCGCTCTTACTCTCCGATCGTAATACTGGAATATTGGAGCAGCAGCAGTTAAAGACGCCAACAGAAAGCAGCAGAAAAGTAAAAAAGAAACAAGAAACCAGACGACCTCGACCAAAGTTGTCGCAAAAAAATAAAAACAAAAGAAATAAAGGCATGCAAATTAATATAAAATACACATGCAGATTTATCAGGAGTTGGATAAAAGTGGAAAAAAATGACTATTTTTAATTATAGTTTTTAATAATTTCAATAATTAGATAAACAGAACGGTACTTTGAATATGGTATGTATATGTAAGTTATATTGTAATAGAGATTTTTTTATGAATTATTAATAAAACTTTCCCTAAATTGTGTTATATTTTCAAATTTTTATTTTTATTTTTTTTATTAAATTTAAGGACTCCCTATTGACCTGGGTAACCGTTACCACTCACCTCACCAATCTAAAAACAAGTAAGAAACAGGCAACAAACCAAGTTAAAAACAAACAGCAACAAGACACCGTACTGCGCTCATAAAAATTCATTTCCAGTGACAGTGGCAGCGACGCCAGCAGCGGCCACTTCCAATGGGCAAAAACGAAAGACTTCAATTCAGTTTGGCGAAGACAACGAACTCGAAAAGAGCTTGCGCGGACAACGGCGAAAAGAGGAGAGAAACGCTCACGTCTGCGTCTTACAAAACGGTACGTGCGCGCATGCGTATCTGTGTGTCTGTGAGTGAGTGTATCTGTGTCTGTATGGCCAAAAGTTTACTGCAACAGCACTAACAACAACGGCCCCAATCTTACCAACACAGAGGCCTCAAGCCAGCCAAAAAAAGAGAAAAAATTAATGAAAAGAAATCAAATACGAAATTAAATTTGAAAATTAGTGGGCCACGCAGGCAAATCACGAGTGAAACGAAAAATACGTTGATAATTATGCCAAAAAGCTGGCCATAAGCTGTGCAACGAAAAGTGTGTCTTCATTTGGAATTCCTCTGTTCTTTTTATAGCCAAAGAAAGACAAAACCACATTCACCTGGCCAACTCACTCACTCTCGCTATCTGTGAGAGACAATCATCTGATTTGTTGGCCTTTTCTTTTGTGCCATTTCATCGCCGTCATCCGATCGTCAGCGGCCACAGAAGAAACGCCAGCAGCCGATCTAACAAACGGTACAATTTTCTTATACATGTGAAAGTTACGGATCTCTTTCTATTTCACTGCGATGCTTTTCTTTTCTACCAGTTCTTCTACTGCTAACGGGTTTTCGCACGGCCCGGACTGTGACAAAACTTTTGCTTTCATATAGTCCGGGCCCGGACCTGCATGCTGGGCCAATCTGGCTATTTAGCATTTGGAGGCTGAAAACAATTTGCGTTGTTTCGAGGCGAAACCCGTTCGCCGAAATATATCAACACACCCAAAAACCAGCCAACTTGTTCTATAAATTATAAAATTAAATTAGCTAACCAAGGCGAGCCAAGTCGCAGCATTCTCTTGGCATTTAACGGAGATCACTTGTTAAAGCATCTAGGGGAGGTACATTTTTTGAGGATACTTTCACATTGAATTGGCAGTGCAAAATGTCACCTGCCGTGGGTTTTCACCTGGATCATCTTCCAATTGGTGGATCATCATCCACTCATCCGCTTGGCATTTTCAATCGGATTTTGCTCAAACGCCTCCACTTCGGATTTAGCCTCAGTCCGAGTTGTTTAACCAAACCTCTCTGTCTCGAGGTCTGGCTCTTCGCCTTTCTGGCTGTTTCTTCTCGTATTTTGCGCCTCTCATTTAAATTTTACTCACAAATCTTTTGTGGCTCGCAGCCAAACAGAAACCTCAGCAAAGAGTCAATGTTTATAGGTTTTCTGTCAATATGGCAAGTAACTGTTGTTTCAAGAATTAGATAAAACAAAAGTAAACATACAGTTAAAAACTAAAGTCAATGCTAAGGATACAAAGCTATAAATCATTCAGAAATAGTAAAAATATACAATTAAATTAAACTAACTTCATAAACATATGGAAAAATATGCCTTTCAAAATAAACTCTATGATAACTCTAAAATAACATAACTATGTTATATCATTAAAAATGTCAACTCACTGGAGTTTTGAATGGTCCTTCAATATCCAAGATACAGTCATCAACGAAAACCCCAATCGAAACTACTCACAAAAGACTAATCATTCTCAGATCCCCGAAAAAAGAAACTGAAAAGACAATTCCAACTTACCTTACGCATTACGTAAAAACCAAGCATTAAGCCTTTCAGTGACTCACTTCATATCATCAAAATGATTCGATTTAAATTGAATTCATCTTGACTGATCTTTAGATATTTTTTGGACTCGAAGCCCAAAGTAGACAATCATATTTTTTTGCACTTTAATGCCATTTAATTGGTTTAGTCGTCAAACAACCCAAAGCGCCAATTATATTCCCAAAAGTCTGTGACTCATGCAGTTTTGTTGCATTTTTAAGACAAAATGGTTTTATATATTTGCACGGATATAACGGTAAAGCGGTTTACAGACAAAAGACAAACAACAAATTAAAGGTGAAAGAACTTAAAAATAAGACTGAGCTGTCATGACTTTGATGAGGACTTGCATAAATGACAAAAAAGTTAACAATGGGGTTATAATTTAAAGACATTTTTACAAATCTTTTATTTGTTAATCGAGGTTTAACTTTAAACCATAATATTTGTATAAAGCTAGTTTTCAAATACAAAAAACTAATATTAATTTAAAGAAAGTTGGGTTTAAAATGTTTTCCAAACAATATTTATCTTTTCTGGTTTATAGTTTAAGTTCTGTATCTGTATTTATTAAATTAATTAAATTCTGAAAATCAAATAATAACTGAAAACAAAAATTATCAACACGCTGCTAATTAAATCTGTTGTCTACAAAACCTGTAAAAATCTACTTTTGTTGAAACAGGCTTGAATATCATCTTACTTTATCTTAGGGTGCAGCTTCCACACATATAGTTTTCCCAACTAATGCTGTGAGTCATGTCTATCATACTAGTACTCCAGCCATCAGATTCCAGCAACCTTCAAGTAACATAAATCGATAGCTTAAATGGCCAATCCAGTGGACTGACCACTGGTTCCACACCCATTTTATTCCCTTCCCTCCTCTAGACCCACAATGCCGCAACAAGGCTGCCCCATCTTGGCTATGTCACCATTGTAGTTCGTTCCTGCTTAACTCAGCCTGCAATTTTTCACTTAATGCTTACAATTTTACTCTTATTTATTGGCGCATATTTCTTGGTTTTCCTGCTGTTCACCAAAAACTGGTTGTCCGGCAATCAGCAGCTGGCTGGCGTGGCCGGTTCGATTGCCGTGTTCCCGTTTTGACTAGTTGGCTTAAATGTAGCAATCAATTTATGCGCCAGCCCAAGTAGCAACAACGGTTGCAGCCCCAACTTGTCTATCTGTATAGGTATCTGTGAGCGAGTATCGCATAGATTGTGTTCGTTTATTTCTATAACATTCATTTTACAAGTATCTGACTTTCACTTTTTTTCTGTGTTTCTGGCTGGCTGTTGGTTGAGCGCAGCTTTTAATTGTTTACCTTCTTTGGCGGCAGCAGACTTAGCCTCAAAACCTAAACATTCAGTGGGATACATATGTTTAAATAAAAATCATACACACTCGGAAATTATGGAATTAGTCAATATTATATAAGTGGATTTAAAGTTGATCCTTACCAAAAATTAAAGTACTAAATTTATTTAAAGTATCCTATCCATTCTTGTATAATAGTTTTAAATTTATTAATCATTAGTCTGCTAATTTTCTTTGTGTGTACATTTTGGTATCTGCACTGCTTTTGTCCATTATATTATAGACCCGGTCCACTAGCCATTCACTTCTCCTCTCTCCCGCCCCTGCACACCCCACCATCCTCCTACCCTCTTTTGGGGCGCTAATGTGATTATTACAACAGAAAAAAAAATTATTAAATCGCCCAACGCCTGCAGCTGTGCCCCATTGTCTGTTTGTGGGCAGTGGACACAAAAGAGCCGAACAACTCCATGCTCCATGCTCCGTACCCCATTCCAAGACCTGCCCATGGCCCGCTCCAGTTTGCCTTCCTGTCCAACCGGTTGGCTATCGGAGATCTGTTGAGGAATATACAACTATATGTGCTCGTAAGAATATATGCTGGTTTCTTTTCCAGAGTCGACTCTTTTTTCAGACAAGTAATCCTTTTTGGGCTCGATCTTTCTGGCCCCTCGACTGTGATTGAACACCTCGACATGAATTCTTAATTCGTTTTGTAGTTTTATTTTTCGGAGACTCGAATTTTCTTCCACTTAGGTCATATTTGGTATGGCGAGCACGTTTGCTGCGTGGGTAAAAGTACTTTAATGTTGAGGCTGGCTAGGGTTAACTGAGTTCATTTTAGGGGATCTACCATTTTCATCAAACATCTAGATTCTGGGCTGTCCTTTTGTAAAGCTATACAAACTATTGGAAAAACAAAGATTTTGGATTTCTAGAGCTTACTATATATAAATCTCAGTACCAAGTTTCTAGTTGAAACATTTTTATAAACTTCAATATCAATTAAAACATATATTTCATCAGTCTTTCTATGTTTGAAAAATCGCTTTATAATGAAAGACGTTAATCTAATGTTTAACTCTTAATACCTATGGCGTATTTTGAATTTACCAAACAAGTTCATTAACAAATTGTTATAGTATAATGTTTAGCCAAAACAAAGCTGCTGCAGAGCTACTATTAATTTAAAAAGAGATTTTTATACTTCTGAGAGCTTATTTGTTATTTATCCAAGTTCAACTGGTAAGATCCATTCCAATGTACTTTTGACATTTATAAGAATCGATAGAAGTCAAGATTTCTGTTGGCTACTCAATGGCAGTGGCCGAGTTGAGTCCGCCGGTTGCTCAATTGCATAAATTTTTCCCATATTAAAATTAACTTCGCATTTTGCGTTGCCAAAGAGTCGATGAGCAAACAGGTTTTTTGTTAGGAAAGAGTTGGGGATGACTTAACGATGATATAAAATATGGCACAGTAACAATATAATTAATTTTAACTAGCTTATCAAATCTTTCAATCAGCAACCAAACCGAAAACTAAAATATACAAAAAGTAAATTGCAGAAGACGACCGTGACAGGACTCGAACCTGCAATCTTCGGATTCGAAGTCCGACGCCTTATCCTTTAGGCCACACGGTCCTGGTGAAACGTCACGTTTGTTCCATCCTTATGAAGCTCCAAACAGGCACATTCCCAGGACACACTTTCACCACGAAAGCATCCTGCACTGCCTTTACATATGTGTGTTGAAAAGCCACCCTTACCCCATAAGGATTGTGTAAAATTGTGCGTTTCCCTCTCGCTTTGTAGAAACTTTGAGGTGTGGGAGGTTGTTGGTCATCCTATGACGGCATACATATGGCTCCTGTGCGCAGAATCCTCCACGGAGAAACCGAATTTCAACTCACAGCATCCGATATATGGACAGCTGATCCAACAAAGCTCACGATGTTTAAAAAGTTTAAACTAAACTATAAACTATCTTAGTATAAACAAAGAGCATTTATTTGTTCACAATACTTTCTCAGAACTTTTCATATTTCTTGTTTACATATTCGGTTGCTTCCTCAAATATTTATTTATGTTAGAAAACCTATATACTTTAGCATATCTTGCGATATACTCCACTTATTATTTTTTATTTTGAGTGCCTCAATCTATCTTCTATCTCTAAACATGAAAATGTTATATTGAAACTTTGACACATTTAAAACTATGAAACTTTTATTATTCAAATTCCTTCTACAGTTGCCATGAAATAGACCTTAATACATATATAGAAAAGGGTTCAAAATTCCTGTTTTGTTGCTGTAACTAAATTTCTGTCCCACCAAGGACAAATCATGAGCTCTCCCGCGCAGAAACGATCAGGATCCAAGGGCCAGAAGGTGGCGAACCTTGTACCGCAGATCCTTTCCGATGTTCCAGCCACCTTCGATGTAATGCAATTGAATAGCCATGGCCTGAGCAGCGGTCGAGGCGTCCAACTGCCGCCGCTGATGACCAGGGGAAAGATCCGACCGGAACAAGTGGACCATGCCCAGTTCCGGGTTCTGGACCCGCATTCCAAGGCTCTCAGCGATCAGCAGTTTAACGCACTAATCAAGCGGCTGGTCAAGTGCTTCATGTCAGAGGTGGCTATTACAAAGAAGTTGCGCAAGCTGACCGCCCACCCCATCGGGCTCCGACCCACCGATGAGGATATGATCCACCATCTGGAGACCCTCCGTCGCAACTATGAGGCCGAGCGTTCGGTCCTCGTTGTAAAGCTCAGTCTGGATAAAAGGTTTAATGATGCTGGCGTGCGATCCACCAGCTCATCCAAAAAGTCCAGATCCTTGAACTTATATCCTAAGCGCAAGGAGCCTGGGATAGTAACTATTCCCGATGAGTCGCACGACCCCGATATTCGACCCGCCTTCTCCAAAAAGCGCCAGACCGGAGGATCTTTGGTCGCAGTGCCAAGTAATATACCCTTCGTCAATAACAGTATTGCATCGCCATTGAATCTTTCTCAGAAGCTCCAAAAAAAACTAGAAAGATTGCAAAGGTCCGATCCGAAAATGTCACTGTCCACCTGCTCCCGAGCTTCAATGTTTTCTGCCATCGGGGAGCCTCAAATAAGTCCTCCTCAATCCACCAGCGAAACTGATATATTCTATGATATGCCAACCGTCGTAATGGGTAGTTTTTGAGTTTCAAAAGCTTATTTTCCTTTTTATTTTGTTACAATTTAAATAAGATTAAAAACTGGTGTGCTATAACAGGAATAAATTCAAAAGGATTCATGATTTCTTAGAGACTATCTTTCTTAGAGTTCCTAGAAGGGTACATAGAAATCTTTTTTACCTTTCCGCCAATATTGGCATAAAAAACCCCCGTCTATAGCTAAGTTTAGATGGCGATTGGTATACCATCTGCAGTTTGGCACATAATCATAAATATTGCACTCGGAACCGAATCTGGTACAAGGCCTGACTTGGAAGAACAATACGATCAGCACTGGTACACTGCAGCAACTCCAATTGCGAGTCAAACGAGTAATCGTACTTAATTACCATAAAAGAAAAAACGAAGAGCCGGCGGCAACATTGGTTTCAGTTCCGTGCCACATGTGGAACAACCGAGGCGTGTCCGTACTCCAGCCGCACTCAAGCCTCAGGTTGCGCATGCGGCTTAAATGACTACCAAAAATTTTCTAAACTCACTTTAGTCGAAAAAATTGGGAAAGTGAAAGTGAAAAGATGGTCAGAAAACTCTGAAAACATCTGAAAGATGTAAAATAAAAAGGCAAAAATGCCAACGTAGTGAGTCACTGACTTAATAAAAGGGGTTTTCAAGGTTCATCTTGGGGGTATAAAAGAAACTCAACGAAGTCTGAATTTAAACCGGTCCGAGGGCGGAGTCAAAGGACGTCTGTCCTTGGAAGCCCGTTTTCCACAGCCATAAATTGCATATCCATTAAAACCGGCTTATCGAACATGGGCTCAATTATTTTCCACTCTCCTCCGACTCGTTACAGCCGAATATTTGCCACTCGGCTCCAAGATTGGGGGCTAGCACCTACCGTGGGAGATGTCTGCGATGCGGCATCGACCGATGGCCCCTCCGGGCAACGGAGCCGGAGCGGGGGCTGCCGGAGAGCACGGCGATAGCGATGACAACAACTTCACCGACGATGAGAGCTCGCCACTGACTCACGATATATATGGCGGCAGGTAGGTCTTTCATTTCTAGCCAGGTCTTCGACCGAATGGTACGAGCATCTTCAAAAAATTATGCAAATCGCTAGATGGCTAGATGATGATGATGGCTGAGTGCCACGGAAAGCAAACCGGAACCAAACTGTCTCACCCAGTAATTAGCCTCGACTCCGAGCGAGATTGTTTCACAATCACTTTCGGTGCAGGGCGGGTCTGGGTCCGGGGCCAGCGAAATGCCGGAAGTCAAGATCATCTAGTCCAGCAAACAGCATTGCAATAAGCTCAGTGGTCTGTGAGGTGATCTAGATTGGATTACTTCACTTTTAAAGCTTGCTTTAATCCATAGCAACCACAAGACCACTGATCTGTAAAAAACCAAACTTGTATTATAATAACTAAAATTTAAATGAAATCCCCAGTCAACGCACCATACAGGAGACAAAGGGATGGGATGTGTTCCGAGATCCCCCAATCAAGATTGAGACTGGATCCACGGCCAACCAGGAGTGCCTAGAATTAACCATCAAGATCTTAAAGATCTTCGCCTATGTGATTACCTTTATAATAGTTTTAACCGGTGGCGTCATCGCCAAGGGCACAATGCTCTTCATGACCTCGCAAATCCGCAAGGACAAAAAGATGGAGTACTGTAACAAAGACTTGGTAAGATCCTAATTCCAAAAATATGTTTAGTTATATAACATTGTAAATTCTTTACAGGGTCGCGACAAAAACTTCGTGGTGCGACTGCCGGAAGAGGAGCGTGTGGCCTGGATCTGGGCCCTTCTTATAGCCTATGCCCTGCCCGAGATCGGAGCCTTGATCCGCTCTGCCCGTATCTGCTTCTTCAAGACGTTCAAGGTGCCAAAAACGGGGCACTTCCTGTTCGCCTGGCTGATGGAGAGTATGAGTGCTGTGGGCACGGCCTTGCTGATGTTCGTGGTGCTCCCCCAGATCGATGCGATTCAGGGCGCCATGTTGACCAACTGCCTGTGCGTGATCCCTGGAATCTTTGGCCTGCTCTCGCGCACCTCCAAAGAGGGCAAGCGATTCGTGAAGGTTATCATCGACTTGGCAGCAGTGGCGGCCCAGGTAACCGGTCTGGTCATCTGGCCACTGCTGGAGAATCGTCGGGAGTTGTGGGTCATCCCAGTAGCCTGTGTGATGATCTCCTGCGGCTGGTGGGAGAATTACGTTTCCCCGCAATCCCCACTGGGACTGGTGAGAGTTCTCGGAAGGATCAAGGACGAGATGCGCTACACACGATACTTCTGTCACATGTTCTTCTCCATTTGGAAGATCCTGCTCTTCTTTACTTTCACGCTTTTGATATACTGGGCGCAGGGTGATGAGCCTGGCAACTTGTTCTCCATGTACGGCGATGCCTTTGGGCCGCATAAGATCATCGTCTATGAACTGCCTGCGGGACTCGGCGGTGTCCTGCCTGATACCCTGGAATCAGCAAACATTGACACTGTGGATGTGGATGCCTCTTACAATACCGTCGTGTATGTCCTGCTCCTGCAGATTTTTGGCGCCTATCTGTGTTACATTTTCGGCAAATTCGCCTGCAAGATCCTTATCCAGGGCTTCAGCTATGCCTTCCCAGTGAGTTTGACCGTGCCCCTGTCCGTGTCCTTCCTGATCGCCGCTTGTGGAATAAGGATCGATGATCCCTGCTTCTTCCACGACACCATACCTGACTATCTGTTCTTCACGAGCCCCTCAAACTTCCGCTTCAATAACTTTGTCACTGAGCAAATGGCCTGGGCCTGGATCCTGTGGCTCCTGAGTCAGACTTGGATTGCCTTGCACATCTGGACACCAAAATGTGAGCGTTTGGCCACCACCGAGAAGTTGTTTGTGAGGCCCATGTACTCCTCGCTTCTGATCGATCAGTCAATGGCCCTAAACAGGAGGAGGGATGATCAAGCCGATGTCAAAACCGAGGTGAGTAATCATAACACCTATGTCATGTCTTAAGACTAATGTTTTCTTTTGTAATTCTTATTTTTTAGGACCTCTCGGAAATCGAAAAGGAAAAGGGCGATGAGTACTATGAGACCATATCGGTGCACACGGATCGATCTTCGGCGCCCAACAAGCCCTCCATCAAGTCCTCGGACAACATCACTCGTATCTACTCCTGCGCCACCATGTGGCATGAAACCAAGGACGAAATGATAGAGTTCTTGAAGAGTATCATGCGAATGGACGAGGATCAGTGTGCCCGCCGTGTGGCTCAAAAGTACTTGCGAGTCCTCGACCCTGATTACTACGAGTTTGAAAGTAAGTACTTGAAGGAATTACACTTTATCTGACTTATCTTACGTATTATCCTTTACAGCTCACATTTTCTTTGACGATGCTTTTGAAATCTCGGATCACAGCGACGATGATATCCAGTGCAATCGGTTCGTTAAGCTGCTGATTGGCACCATGGACGAGGCTGCTTCTGAAATCCATCAGACCACAATCAGATTACGGCCACCCAAGAAATACCCCACTCCATATGGAGGTCGTCTCGTTTGGACCCTGCCCGGAAAGACCAAGTTTATTACCCATCTCAAGGACAAGGATCGTATTCGTCACAGGAAGCGCTGGTCTCAGGTGATGTACATGTACTACCTGTTGGGTCACCGTCTCATGGAGCTGCCCATTTCGGTAGACCGCAAGGATGCCATTGCTGAGAATACCTACCTTTTGACCCTTGATGGAGATATTGATTTCAAGCCGAATGCAGTGACCTTGTTGGTGGATTTAATGAAGAAGAACAAGAATCTGGGTGCCGCCTGTGGACGTATTCATCCCGTGGGCTCCGGTCCCATGGTGTGGTATCAGCTTTTCGAGTACGCCATTGGTCATTGGCTGCAGAAGGCCACCGAGCATATGATCGGCTGTGTGCTCTGTTCACCAGGATGCTTCTCCCTGTTCAGAGGCAAAGCTCTCATGGACGACAACGTGATGAAGAAGTACACTACCAGATCGGATGAGGCTCGTCATTACGTACAGTACGATCAGGGCGAAGATCGTTGGCTGTGCACGTTGCTCCTGCAGCGAGGATATCGCGTGGAGTACTCGGCTGCCAGTGATGCCTACACCCACTGCCCCGAGGGCTTCAACGAGTTCTACAACCAGCGCCGCAGATGGGTGCCATCGACCATTGCCAATATCATGGATCTTCTGGCGGATGCCAAGCGAACGATTAAAATCAATGACAACATCTCTCTGCTCTACATCTTCTACCAAATGATGTTGATGGGTGGCACTATCCTGGGACCTGGAACGATCTTCCTCATGTTGGTGGGTGCCTTTGTGGCTGCCTTCCGTATCGACAACTGGACCTCCTTCCACTACAACATCGTTCCTATTCTGGCCTTCATGTTCATATGTTTCACCTGCAAGTCAAATATCCAGCTATTTGTGGCGCAAGTCTTATCCACAGCCTATGCGTTGATTATGATGGCCGTGATTGTGGGTACGGCCTTGCAGTTGGGCGAGGACGGTATCGGTTCCCCATCGGCCATTTTCTTGATATCTATGGTTGGCTCATTCTTCATAGCCGCATGTTTGCATCCGCAGGAGTTCTGGTGCATAACATGCGGCTTAATCTATCTCTTGTCCATCCCGTCTATGTACCTGCTGCTCATTCTCTACTCGATCATCAACCTGAATGTCGTATCCTGGGGCACCCGCGAAGTGGTGGCCAAAAAGACCAAGAAGGAGCTGGAGGCGGAAAAAAAAGCCGCCGAGGAGGCCAAGAAGCGAGTGAAACAGAAGAGCATGCTCAGCTTTCTGCAGAGCGGAATTGGCGACAATGGCGATGAGGAGGGTTCCGTGGAGTTCTCCCTTGCCGGACTGTTCCGTTGTATTTTCTGCACCCACGGCAAGACCTCCGACGAAAAGCAGCAGCTGACGAGCATTGCTGAGTCTTTGGATACCATAAAACAGCGAATGGACACCATTGAAAGTGCAGTGGATCCACACGGACATCATGCTACACGACATGGTAGAAGGCGGACCACATCCAGCGGATCAAAGGATCATCACCTGCTCACCTCGGTGGCAGAAAAATCTGGGGACGAGTCAGACGAATCGGATTCGGACACATCGGCGGAACCGAAACAGGAGCGAGACTTCCTCACCAATCCCTACTGGATCGAAGACCCCGATGTCCGCAAGGGCGAAGTTGACTTCCTGTCCAGTTCGGAGATCCAGTTCTGGAAGGACCTCATCGACCAGTATCTTTATCCCATTGACAATGATCCCGTGGAACAGGTGAGATTTCAATTCTTTTTCTGAAAATTTTCAATATTTTCGAAGTGTTCTGCTCTTGAAGGCAGCTTTAAGTTTTAGTTTTTTTGTCCAAAACTCATTAAAATTTAAAAACCCTATAAAAAAAAAACCCATCTTAACCAAAAAACCGCCGAATCAAATAACTTTTAGGCCCGTATAGCTAAAGATCTCAAGGAACTGCGCGACTCTTCGGTATTTGCATTCTTCATGATCAATGCACTGTTTGTGCTGATCGTGTTCCTGCTGCAGCTGAACAAGGACAACATCCACGTCAAGTGGCCGTTTGGAGTTAGGACCAACATCACCTACGACGAGAGCACCCAGGAGGTAATTGATCAAGTGACCAACCGAACTAACACAATTTTTTTTGTTTGTTTTATTTCTTCTATTTGGCAACGACGATTCAAAGGCCCGCATTGCCTCCGATCTGATTGAGCTGCGGAACAAGTCGGTCTTTGCGTTTTTCATGGCCAACGCCTTGTTCGTGCTGATTGTGTTCTTGTTGCAACTGAACAAGGACAAATTGCACATCGTTTGGCCGTTGGGCGTTAAAACGAACATTACCTATATCGAAGAAACGTCTGAGGTTTATAAAACAATCTTTATCGATGTTCTACTACCACAATTCCGTGCTCTCAGTGTTTTGTGTTTTATCCCTAAAACCTCTGGAAGGGTCCTCTAACCTGTTCCTGCCTGTCCACTCTGTTTCACTCTTAATGTTTACTACCCGTTCAACATGCCACCAAATCACTCATCAGCTAATGATGTCCTTTTATTTCTTTGTTACTCTTCCCGTTTATTGAACCCCATCCTAATGGTTCAGGCATAAAATATATATATATCATACAATATAAAAATCATGTAAAAACAACAGAACAACATACAACATTTAAGCGGTTCTAACAGTTTTTTCCCCAACGATGCAAACCCGGTAAACTGTAAGCCATTATTAAATATCTCCCTGTTCTGAATAATCACCGTTCTGTACACATGCCCCCAGATTCATGGCAAGCATGTTCATTATTTCTCCCACATCACTAGAGTGTGTATAAATAAATAAATAAACAAATAAAAACCCGACATATAACCAACCTCCCAAATGGTATCACACCTCAACATGCCACAATCACCGACAAACTGGTATTGAGATCAGCCATTTATCCGTGCCCGAAACTGTCAACCAAACAAATTATTTAATGTCACTAACCTGAACCATATTTGTTAAGGTCATTCGCTAATCCAACTACTTCCAATATAGGTTCACATCTCCAAGGAATACCTGCAACTGGAACCCATTGGTCTGGTCTTTGTGTTCTTCTTCGCTCTGATTTTAATCATTCAGTTTACGGCCATGTTGTTCCATCGATTCGGCACCATATCGCATATCCTGGCATCCACCGAACTGAACTTTTGCAAGAAAAAATCGGAGGACCTAACCCAGGATCAACTAATAGATAAGGTATGATAAGGTTTATTGGCTTTGTAGAAAGAAATGATTCAATAATCCATTTATTTTCATCTCTTCTTTAGCATGCTGTTGAGATAGTAAAGAATCTTCAGCGGCTCCAAGGCATAGACGGAGACTATGACAATGACTCAGGTTCTGGACCAGATCGCATAGCCCGGCGAAAGACGATTCAAAATCTGGAGAAGGCCCGTCAGCCACGTCGTCAGATAGGCACCCTTGACGTGGCATTTAAGAAACGTTTCCTGAAACTTACTGCTGATGCTGAGAATAATCCTGCCACGCCCATTCTCACACGTCGCCTTACAATGAGGGCAGAGACTATCCGAGCGCTGGAAGTGCGCAAGAATTCCGTAATGGCTGAACGTCGCAAGTCCGCCATGCAAACCCTGGGTGCCAAAAACGAATACGGGATTACCACTGGGGCTCCGGTAAGGACTATACTAAAACTATGGATGTACTATATAACTAACTATGCTTTATACTTGCTTTCCTTAGATAAATAACAACGGAAACCTGCCCAATCAAAGGAGTGGACGTATTTCGAATGCTGGCATCAGCATTAAGGATGTTTTCAATGTAAACGGAGGTCCTGGAGAGGTAAATAAAACCTAGATTATTTTTTATGCATAGTCTAATTACATTGTATCTTTTTTTTAGCAAATTTATGGCTCGAATGGCGGTGGCACCATCAACCAGGGCTACGAGCATGTCATCGACGAGGATGGCGATGGCAACTCCCTGCGGCTGACCACCCGGAATCCGCATCCCCACCCACATCCACAGGTCTCGTGGGGCCAGAACACCAACCCCGGAAACAGCTCCGGACGCCTGTGAATACACCACATCCTAGACTTATGCTAAGCTAGAGCTAGACATCTTGTTAACGAATTCCGCCTCTTTCCATAAACTGCCTAATATAAGACTAAGCCGGACCTAGAGTTGTAGTCAGGATAGATAGAGTTGTACAATGTACATATATGAGTAGAAGGACACGACAATAGGGATTCGGGACATTGCCGAATCCTGGTCGACACAACGAACATTATGCTTAGCTAATCACACTGCCAGTGACGATGTGTGCGTGTGCGTGGGTGTACTTCCCGCGGTGGCAACAACATTCATACTATGTACTATACTATATCATTTGTTAGGTTACCTTTAAGTCAATCCCAGGCTGAATCCATCTGGATACGCCACGACCAGTGCATGCTGACACAAAATACTCAACGCGTAGCTGATTCGGAAGTGCAGCAAAGAATTACCTATTTATATAAAATATTAAACGTAATGAAAATAGTTCTTTTATAATAATTTGAAAACCTTTGATGCGGCAAATAAATGAAAATATCCATGATGGAATATTCGAGTTACTATTTACTTTCGATGTAAACCCTTTTTTGTGTTTGTGGCTTAAAGCCTTTGGTAAATATGAATAACTTTATTTTGGGGCATGGGAAAAAACATCTCTAGACTTTGTTTGCGACAACAATAATAATCTATGATAGGTATTTTAAATAGTAGACACCAATAAAGAATACGATGTATGGTCATCTGTGCTTGAGGATTACCTAGGCACGGCTTAGTGGAAGAGCAGGTTGCCCTTCTTGGCGGCTATCGGCAGACGGTCGCCCTGAAGGAATGGATTGATGAGGGCAGGCTCAATGCGAGGATCCACCATTGCCGGATACCCGGCCTTCTTGACCAAGCTGTTCACATTGTTGAGACTGTTTTCTTGGCCCATTTGCAGAATATACTGCTCTACGGCGGAATTTAGATCGCCCTTGTCGGATCCGGTATCGCCGCTTTCCTGCTCCGAGCAGTCGAACATATGCTCACTGTCGCATGTGCAGTCCTGAGCAGCCTGGAACTCCCGACTGAAAATGGCCGTGTTCTCAAAGTCAGAGATACAGCTGCCACCTTGAGTCTCCACGTCGTATCCCTCTGGGCACGGATTGGGGGGATTGCAGTAGGCAGGCAGTCCGGCGTCGTTCTTAACAATGGAGTGATACCTATTCGGACCCTCACCCATTCCTCCGGAGATGTATTGGTGGCCCCATAGCGAGCTGTGCTGCATGAATTCATGGTCTCGCAAGGAAGGATTTGAAGAAGCACCAGACTGCAGAACACAGTCACTGCCGCCATCGCACAATCGGGAGTACTCAGACCTGGAGACCAGGTCCACATTATCCTTGGGAACGGCGGGTGCCATCTCGCCATCGTTATCCACATCATAATAGCCCACCTGCATGTCGTTGTCCATGCGATTGAGCAAATCCGTCAGCAGGACATCTGCGAAAATGTTATCCTTTCCGCCATAAGACTGGGCTGGACATCCGCCAGAAAGGAGCAGGATAGCCCCGACCATTAACTGCACACCTATTTAAAATCACGGATTTTAGAATGGTATATAGTTTATTATGCTGATACTTCACTTACTTTGAAATTGGGACAACATATTGCGCGTTTTCAACTGATTTACACCGCCCACGGAGAAGTTTGGATTTTTATTGATTTTTCGGCAGCAGCTGCTTCAAAGGTCGGGTGTGTATAACGTTGTGACGTAGGTATTTTCGATGTAGAGGCTACCAGTTGAATACCCAGAAAAGCCCTCAGAGCCAGATATTTAACCCAGCTAGAGCTGATAATGGCGCATGCGCCATTTTGAAAAGCTTTTCCATGGGTCCTGCTAAGTAACCAAAATAAAATTGTACCTAATTCGATTTACTCCTTTGGCCCAACTAGTCCCCTCAAACCAGGTTTTACGGAAAGTAGAATTAATATATTTTGAAAATCATAAAAAGTATATTATAAGGTCTTCAGTACTACATATATAATTTAATTTTCTTGGTGAAATCGTCAGCCATTCGATAAACATTTAATTTTGCATGTATATGTACTTGAAACTATAAATCTTTACTTAAAAGCCATTATAGATCCATTTATACTCTGCATGAACTTTGAAGAGTATTTTGTTTTAAATATGATGGTGTCTATAAATGACTTCCCTGTCTTATATTTTTACTGAAATCTTTCATCTTCAATATTTTAACATTAAAACTATCTCTTATCTTACATTGCTGTCTAACTCTGCTCTATCATCTCGGTTCCGAGCCGTACGTCACACGGCAGCGCCCCTCGGTCGGTTGGGCGGGAGGTGGGCTGCACGTTAAGCAGTGGGATTCGCGCGACAAAAAAATCATTTTTTCATTTTAATTTCAATAAATTTCATATTTCTATGGAAAATTAAAGTATTTATTTCATATATTATCAGCTATACTCTATACATCTATAGGAAAAATTCTATACTATTGAAATTCCAAGATGAATGATTATCTTTTGTAAATGCATCTGTTTCTTTGATCTCAACCTTTTTTTATACTTTATTGAGCTATCATAAATTCATTGAATTTCTTCTTTTATTTTGCTAACCAAAAGCTTGTAATTTCGTCAATCTTTTAATAAAATAAAGTCCTTACAACAAGGTAACGAAGTTTGGCAATGAAATTATTTATTTCATGATGAACACCAGTCGAGAAGTAATTTTGCGAAAAATAAAACTAAAGTTCCAGCTTTTTTCATTTGTTCTAGCTTTCATATGTTAATTCCATTTCTTCTTCCATATTTCTGACCAAGCGCTTGTGAATCTTAGTCCTCGAATGCGTCATTAAATCCTTGCGTGAAGAAAAGTCCTTAGAACAAGGCTCACATCTGCCAAAAGAAAATATTTTAACCTTTATAAATAAAAAAACCAATTAAATATTTAACCTGTATTTTCGCTTTGGAGGCGGGTGGGTCGAACTATGCTGCTGAAGTTCTTGAACGCTATTGCACACCTCTCCGCATTCTAAACAAGGGTATGGTCGTTCGTTTTCATGGGCCCTGTGAAAAGTTGAGTTTGTAGAATATTTGCTGAGATTCTTAATAATCGCTTACTTTTGGTGACGTAGCTTATCTCCCCTAGAAAGGAAAATCTCGCCACAAGTGAAGCACTTGAACGTGGCGTTTTCAATGTGGCACTGAGCACGGTGCTGCCTTAATAGTACTCTCTTATTAAAATGAAGTGGACACTCATTGCATGGGAAGAAGTCCTTCATTTCCTTGCGACACTCATGCGCTGCAACGTGACTGTTGTATAGGTACTCATCTTTAAAGAAGTGGCCACAAAGGTCACATATAAAGAAATTTCTGTGTCTTTTAGCGGCCCGTTCTAATTGTTGCTCCCGAATTTCCGCCTGGTGGGCGGCCTCTGCTGCGGCCATGACAGAAGCTTGTGGATCATCGTCATCCGAGATTTCGTCATCGAAGTTTTCTACTACGCATACTTCAAATTCTGCAGGCTTTATAAAATCCGCATCGATTAGCTGCTCCTCTAGCTCAGCCGGTGTGGTTTTATGTTTGGGTTTGCTTTTCTCCTTCTGTTTTATATCCAGCAAATATTTTTGAGAAAAAATACAACGCTCTCGAAACTTCATCGCCAGGTCCAATTCCGACTGGCATCGTTCACATGCACCCTCTGGCAGTCCTTGGTCGGTAGTCAACTATAATAATATCAGAATTAGAATTATAAAAACAATATTGAGACAACGCTGTCACCTCGACACCAGTAATCAGCTTAAGTTGGTTCCATAGCTTCCCGCGCATGTATTTGAATATGTTGCGCTGGGTATTTGCGTTCTTGATTTGGTTGGCACAAATACGACAAACTTGTGTTATGTCCATTTTCTTTAAAACACACAAGATATTTGTTTTGTTTAAAATTCTCGTTGCTATTTCGTGCTGCCAGCCTGTTTCGGATATAGGGATGGACTATCGACCGATAACGTTGTTGGATTGAAGTTTTCAATTGTTTGTTATTGATTTGGCTTATAATTTGAAAGTATTTGATAAATATTATCAATAAAAGTCTAAAAATATTATTTATCTATAAATAATGAATATAGAAACATTCTTTAATAGTTTTATGATCATAAAACATAAAATCGATTAACCGATTGCCGGGATTCAATTTTAGAAAGTGCACATTTGTCCATCGCTAAATTGCGCGCCCTTTGCATTTTGTGCCTCTGGTTGATAATTTTAACTTTTTTTTAATGATTTTCGAAGGAAAAATCATTTTTGATATTTTAAAAAGGTCACTTACTGAAAAATTAGACACCCAAAATGTCCGGAGAAGCTGAGTTGGCCTCCAAATGGACACGACCCGATGATGTGAGTAGAAAGTATTAATGAAAAACCGACATGAACTTAATTGAGACTCACGTTTTTGTTTTTAGTTCATACGGCTCCAGCTGCTCAAGCAAAAGAAAAAGCGTTTGGCCGCCCGTGTGAGCAACAACAATAACAACAAGAGAGCGGACCTCCAGTTGGATGAAACGGACAAAACCAAACTCTTGGAAGCAAAGTTGGCACAGAAGCGAAAAAATCCCTTCGCCAAGTAAGTAGAGTTTGTGATTTTCCACAAGATCAATTACTTATTCTTATTTTACAGGTCCACAGATGATGCCAAGAAGCAAAAAATCGATCTGGATTTGCCCAATAAAGAGCCTGTCACCGCTTCCTCCTGTTTTGTGCGAGAGACACCAACTCGCCCGCCGCCCGCAAAGTTCCTACTGCAGAAATTCGATCCGCAGGCCTTTCAGAAGTTGCTGCACCAACCCCATATTAATGCCGAAGAGGAGGATGATGCTGATTTGGCGGCCCGACAAAAACACACAACCCACCTGCCTGTGGACTGGTGCTTGAAGTCGCGTGCTCGCTTTTTCTGTCCAACAGAGCTTCCAGCCATTCAGCTGAAAACATCCCAGCTGGCCAGCGGGCTTACCAGTTTTGTCCGCTGTATGGATCCCCAGCGAACCGAAAGCACACTAGACATCTCGGATGCCACTCGTTTCAACCAGTGCACCTACTATTGGCAGCATCCCCATCTGCCATGGCTGACTCTTTTTCCTCGTAACGCCAAGGAGAATAACGGCGTGGTCATTGGTGAAAAGGAACGAAAAGCATTGGCCGAAGAGTGGGACTACAGCTTTCGCGGATTGTTTCAGTTGTTGCGCGCCCGCCAGTGTCCGTACTTTTACGTGTGCGCCAATTCTTTTACCGTCTTGTTTCGAGCAGCCGGAGTGGGCGGTCGGGCAGAGAGCCATGCTCTGGTTACACCCTCTACTCGGGGCATGCGGCAAGCATTGCGGCAGGAGGGAATTGAATTCAGCATGCCCTTGAAAAATGAAACTGCTGGAAGTAATGGAAACGACGGTAGTTTCACTGAGGATACCAATAGTACCAGCTCCGTGGTCCAAGAACCCCCTGAAGAAGCAGCTCCCTTGGCCCAAGAAGACGAAGACGATGACGAGGACTGGCTTGAGAGTTTAGGTGTGGATGAACGAGAACTTCGACGTATACAATCCTCTCATGCGCGCAAACAGCAAGCAGCTGAAATGCGTGAGGACTTCAGCGACAACTCACTGCTCCTCATCGATGGCGTGGAGTGTCAGGGATTCTTTAGCTACCTTCTAAATGCCAAAAGTGCTATTAGTACTGTGGGCCGTTTGGCCGGAGTGCCTCCCACTCTTCTATCGCCAGTTGCTTTTCCGAAAGCTACTATGCAGCATTTGGTACCGCGTTCAAAGAAAGTCCGCCTCGATGGCGTCGACTACTTTAGCGTGGACATTAAGGGTGTTATAATGCCCACTTTCCTACCCAGCGTTGTTGAATTATTTTGCGAAACTCGTGAGATGTTTAGCTCCACGTTGGCTAGCAGCATCAATACTCTAGCGTTTAGCAAAGCCACCCAAAAGCTTCTCGAGAGCCCAGAGGCGCCTCAGTCGGAAGGAGATGAAGAGGACGCTGCCGGACACGTCTTTGGTGAGCAAAATCTTTCCGAATGCGGATTGCTGCCCTCTGTAGTTGGTTCCATATGCAGAACTGGCCAACACGCTGTGGGTCTTCTGGAGCGTGTTTGCTACCAGAAGGGCGAAGGATTTGCCTGGAGCTAGGACGGATTGTATCTTAGTACCTTATTCCATCCTCTTTTTTGTTTATATTTTGTTAAGTGTAATAAAATTTTGTAGCTTAATATGGTTTTCAGAATTATTTAGTTGTAGTCTTATTTTATTTTAATGAAATTAAGTAAATTACGAGCTAGTTGTCCACCATAATGAGTTCGTCAATGCTCCAGTCCTCGTAAGAGTGGTCGGGCAGGTAGCGGCGGATTATAATGGGAATCTTTTTCTGCTTTAGTTCCTTCATGGCGATCTGCAAGGGGTCTGTTTCACCATCCAGTTCCACCATAATAGGTGCACACATGGCAATTTGAAGAGCGCGAGTGCCGAGAACTCTCGCCCTCTCGTATTTCGTCATGTACTTGGTGGTGATGCGTTTGGACTTGGGAACACCACCGCCTGCCGCTCCACCCGGTGCAATTATTTCAATATTGTCTACCTCCTCCTCTTGATTGATATCTTCATCAACATCCTCGTCGACATCATCGAAATCATCGCCGCCAACGCTGTAAGGAAAATTAATGATTATTTAAAGATTGTAACAAGCGTTCTGAGATTTCTAGTTGTACTTACTCATCGTTATCGTATTCTGCATCATCCATGACTGGTTAGGGTTGGTATTAGGTACTAATTCGTAAAAAAAACAATATTAACAAATTCCGGCGTGTTTTGCACGCTATGCTTCTTCTTAAACATTCAACAGTGCTTGTAAAACCGTCAGAGCTGCATAACCGATAACCATAGTTGGATTGGCAACACGAAAACCTGTAACGGATATATCGATAAATAAGTTCGTTATTTTATTATTTGAAAAACACAAATAAATTGTCCTTTTTTCTATTATATCATTTAAAATTTATCTTAGGAAGTAGAGGAAACAAACGACTACTTCGAAAAATAATTGATCCTGGGAAGGACAATTTTTAAATAAATTATAAAATTTACATAAATGCATTGCATGTATTTAACAGAAAGTTTATTTACCAACCTTTCCTTTTATCCACGATAGGGGCACCGTACATGCTCTATTTCTGGACCGCGCTGTTTTAGGTTCTGATTATTGCATTGATTCTGGTCAGGAGGGTTTCGAGATCGCCTTGATGACCTCGGGCGCCCGTGGGCGGGGGGTATTTCAGGACATGACCTCGGTGTATCGTGGGCTGGGTGCGGTTGAGGATATGACCTCGGTGTATCGTGGGCGTGAGGTGGTTGAGGATATGACCTCGGTGTATCGTGGGCGGGGGGTGGTTGATGATGTGACCTTGGTGTAGCGTGTTCGGGGGGTGGTTCAGGATATGACCTCGGTGTACCATGGTCGGGGGGTGGTTCAGGATATGACCTCGATGGTGGAGAAGGCTGCAAAGATCGGTCACCGGTTGTATGTTCCCCTCTTTCCCATTCGATCGGTTCATAGTCGTAATCGACACATGTCCGAATCGACACATTCCTCCTCCTTCCCCCTCTATGTGCGTCCCTATCGAAACGATCCAAATCGAAGTTCGCTAAAGGACTCATCGTCCGAGCACTTCTTGGAGCTGGTGGCGAATACCGATCAAAGGGTTGTTGACACATTTCATTGAGAGCCTGAACCGGAGGCGCCAATTCGACAGAATCACTGTTATGGGAAGCGGGTTCACTTAGTATTCGAGCTCCTCCTTCATCAAAGTCAGACCTTGGGCCCATTGGATGGAAACTTGATTGATTTTTACGATGGCACTGGGGAACAGGATGCGCTGTTGGACTACCCCTTGCTTTTCCTGGGTATGTGGCATAGCAGCCTCCAGGTGGCTTTTGTCCTGCAAGACTTACGGGACCTGGATTTGTGGCATAGCACCCTCCTGGTGGGTTTTGTCCTGTAAGACTTAAGGGAGCTGGTGCAGAGGCACCGCAGACTCGCACTCTATGCGCCGCAGGTGGACGACGAGGTGGACAGCCACAGCCACAACCCGAAGGCTGTGGTATCTGGTTGGGATTCTGTGGTACCTGGTTGGGTATTTGAGGTATCTGTTTGGGTATCTGTGGGATCTGGTTATTTAGAGGCGGACAGCTACATCGGAGGTCATCAGTTGGAGGCTTTTGGGAGCGTTGAACAAAACAACTTCGACTGCGAGTTCGCTCTTCATTCCCAATGCCACAGGTTGACCTTCCACAGCCTTCTTGGCCACGGCTCGGCTCGTTCCCTGAATTTCGGAGGGTGTGTTTAGTAAAACTGGTTAGTTAAAGACTAAGACTACTTGCCCATTAGGAATCACATTGGGTTTATTGTCGAGAAATGGAATTAGGTCAAATCATAAAGCTTACTGAAAATTTTGACGAACCAAAATTTAGGAGAACTGTCATCCTGGCTGTGTGTTTACCAATCAGTGTGTGTGTGTGGGTGTGTATCTGCTCGGTAGCGCCTGCTAGGATTTAACCAGATACCTTGATTTTCCGGAGATCCTACTGGATGATGCACTTCTTCTTTCTACTAGCCCGGCAGTGTCCGCAACTGGGTGCTCGTGTGCGGTATGCATGAGGACCGGAACGTCCACCCCCGGGATTGCTCCCACTGCCGCAGGGAACATGCGCATAGGTGGGCTGGTAATGACTTTGAGGTGCCTGTTGGGTTGGCTGGGCCGGAGAACAGTGACACTCGATTTTTGGCGTTTTCTCACGACAGGTGCAGCGAGTTTCCACAAAGGGCACCGTATGATCCTTGGGTGCTCGGCTGCACGTTACATAGTCCGCCTGAGGTCCCTGAGGTCCCGACGGAACCGGTCGAGTCCTGTTGCTGGTACATGTACAATCCACGTGCGGAGTCCTATGTTGTTGCGTGGAGCTACTGATCTGGCAAGCGGCTAAGTTCTCACCTTGGGCCGCGCCCTGAGATTCCGAGCACGGAGCGGCCTGCTGCTGGTGGTGCGGCTGCTGCTGCGCCTGCGGGTAAGCACATTGGCCATTGGAACACTCCACCTGCTGACCTTGGACATAGGCGGGGGGCGGACGGTGGGGCGGCGGTTGGGGTGGCGGTGCAGCACCGCTGGTGCCGCATGGACACGTGTTGCACTTGCCACAAGGAGACGCTGGCGGTGGTAAAGTTAACGCTCGCAGGTCGCGGCTAAAGAACCATTGAATACTCACACATTTTCCAAATAAAATTGGCAGAAAATTTAGTTTCCCACACAGGTCAGCTACCGGCAGTCAAAGCCGACTTAACAATCCTGACAGGTATTCCAAAGGGACTTTCCCTCCTCCAATGTTTTTCACATCAGCACACACTTTTTCTTACCACTTTTGTCTTTCTTATCTTTTTTATCTTTATTTTTTTTTTCTTTAGTTTTCTTGTCCTTTTCCATTGGTGAGTCTGTCTCTGTCTTATCCTTCGGCGGATCGTGGGGTCTGTAGCAAACTGTGCGTTGTTGGGGGACGGGTTGTTCGGGCACAGGGCAGCAACAAGTGGTCGTGGTCTCACTGCGGCCGCAGTGGCAGGCCTTGTTTTGGCTTCCCATCTAGACTTCCAAGACTTTACAATGCAAATAATCTTGTACAATAATTTAATTTGTTAGACCAACCATGTTTTTTCATAAAAAAGCTATGAATATTTTATCTCTATTGTATGAAAAAACATGGGTGTTCTGAGTGTTAGAAGTATTCTAAATTATAATTACTTGACAATAAGATCTAATAATTACCAACACTATAACAAAGAGGGTTGCTTTTTTTTATTTTAAAATTTAAATAAATGTTGGGGCTTTGGCGCGATTATTTGAAATATAGGGTTGGAAACGGTCTGAGCACACAGGGTGATTATGACTCAGTTCGGTGTTAAATAAGGGTTTTTCCCCTCAGCTCGAGGGATTTACACGATTTAGGATACATTTAGGGAGCAAATATTTGTATAGGAAGTTTTGTTTTGTTTGCGAAATTCGTTTTAAAAAATTTGTGTTTTTGATATTAAAAAGACTCCCACGTGCAGAAATCACATAAATTGTCAACCTTGATTCTAAAACCTTACGTAATCGATAGCAATCATTAAATATAAGTATAAAACAGCGTTTAAACTATTCAATGCGTGTAAATTATAAAATTTCTTCGCTCATTTCAAATTTGGGGGGATAACTGGATTTTTTAGTAGATTTAAGTAGATTCCTATCTTTGGGGCAAAAAATGTAAATCGGCATCTGGCAACACTGAACACTTCACAGCACTGCTCCCCAATCAGACGTCGGGTATACGCAGCTCCCCCCGTTAAAAATCAAAGATTCCAAATGCCAGAGTGTCGGTAAACCCGAACTTATTTAAGTTTTACAAATTTAATAAAGCCGAATGTAGAAAGTTATAAAAATCATAATTTAAAAAATATTTTCCGCCCCGGCGATATAACGGGACAACGTTCCTGTTTTTAACGTTTGAATGCGTCAGTATTATTGTTTGTGTAAGTGCAAGTGTGCAAAACTGCAATGCGTATCCGTATCGAAATTTCTTGATTTCCCAATGAACTAATAAAAAACGAGACTACGTCGCCAAATCACCAGTTCTTGTATGGATAAACGGGCATACCAGTCTAGTAGGTAAGTTAACAGAAAGTGCATATGGAAAACCGGCATTCCAATTGGAACGTCTAGAAGGAAACACGATAAGTGCATTTGAACACGTTTGAAATAATTGAAACTAAAGTAGAAATTCAAGCCAGATACACATACCAGCAAGGAAATAGCCCCCATACACACACACATGCGGGCCACAGCTGAGCTGATTCTGCCCCCACAGCTGAGTTGTGTTCTGATAACGGTGTTTGGCGTAGTATCTGTGTGTGCGTATCTGTGTATCTCCCACAGTGCGAATGAACTGAGGTTTGGGGTGCTTTTCGAATTGTTATTGTTTTTGTTTTTTTTTTGGGGTGGGATAGGGGTCGGCCCCTTTTTGGCCTCTGGCCAGGGCGTTATAGGTGCATTAGGTTTGAAATGTAAACATTTCACTTTCTAGAAAGTGGGTAATGGCTATAAGACTCTCAATTCTAAATCATTGATTTTTCCATTAATTCCATAATCCTTTTTTTTTTTTGTTTGGAATTCTAGTATCTGAAGTTGTTTACTTAACGAATTTCCAAACTGCACTCTCAGTGTTTACTTTGTGCATTGTTTGGTGGTTGCCTCATGTCTTGCAATTGCAACCACAGCGATTTTCACTTGGAATTATTTTACACCACTTATTTTCCATAACCATAAGCCATCAGCCAGCAAAAGTTTCATTGTTTTTTAGCTGTGCTTTGATTTGCGGCCCGGCTGCTTTATGGCACTGATTAATGCCCTCACACATTTTAGTGGGAGCTCTTAATTATTTCGTGTATGAGTATGACTGGGGCTGAGGTATGTATTTCTTCTTTGTGGGTTGCGTGTATCATCCAAAGGTCAGGCGTGGGTTGATCTATGGCTGCGATAAAGGGGGTCAAGATTATATAACCTCGCAAAGGGTGAGTAAATGCTAAGGGTTGAAACAGCTAACAAGTGTTAGTTCAATTATTGATATAAAAATGTTTATTTTTGTCTAGTATAAGACATCTTATCTGGTTTGCTTTCCATTTCCGCTATAAGACCGGTTTTTGTACCTCTGAAGTAAAGTATCTTTATAGTATATCGGTTAAAAGATAGCAGCTGCATGTACTTGCTTTTTTTTCCGCTTGTTATGCGGAGTATTATTAACTAATTATGGCTGTCATGCGCTCTGATATTGGAGTGAGTCAGTTCAGGTATAGTCTATTCGTTGAACTTTATCTAGAAGCTACTGATACTTGGGAATCAAAACGATTTATAACTGGGTGAAGAAGTTCTTTTATATCGATTTTCAGACTTGTGAAATTACATTAAAAATTACTTAGAAAGCTTAGACGAGCTTCGATTAGTGTTTCATTCACACTGGCTAGTAACACCCACGTTGAGCTTGAACTATAATTTACTGTCTATAGTATCTTATCGATACCATATACGTTCGTATGTACCATATAGCCCACGACGTGTCATGCTGGCCGAGATAACCTGTTCTATACATAGGGTACTATAGCACTCGATTGTTATTGTTTGAGTTTCTGATAACCGGCTGCCGATTAAATTGCAAAAAATAAATGTTAATGAAATATATACAAGGGTGTAAGCTTAACACAAAATACAAGTGTTTATCACATTTTTGTAATACTCCCTTGCATGTTGATAATTTGGATTTAAACTGTGTAATTAACTAGCTCCAAAACAAAAGACCTATTTTGTCGTTCTCTCCATAAAAATATTAGGCAATGAAAGCTAAACATTTGTTATTCCATTTGATTATAACTTCTCGAGTTTATCAAAACAAATCCACTTGGGAAATCGGTTTTTCCCCCCAGTATTTATAGGAAATTGTTCGGTTCCGTTTCCCATCCCCCACTCATCTCCATCTGAACTGGCTTTATTTCCAGTAATATGCATATTTTATTTAATTTACTTTCGGAGAGTGTGTTTACACATTTCCTGAGGGGACGGCTCTTGTTTTCGATGTTTGTTTTTTGCCTTCAATATCTGATTTCCGATGATTGGCTTTCTGTTCATTTCTTTCCCTATATGATTGATTTTTTTTCTTGCCTTGTCAGTAGAAGAAAAAATTGTAAATAAATGTTTGTATTACACTTTTTGTTTATTTATACAGAAATCGTATACCATTATGTTTAATTTTATACAAAGAGCAATTTATTTTAAAAGGTAATTGTTTTTTGGCATAGAATTGTATTCTGGGCTTACCTCAAACATAATAATGAGCATTAAGTGTTCAACATTATTTATTGGGTCGTGCAATTAGCTTATTTTAAGACGTGAGAAGAATGTATTATTAATTTTATGAGCTAAGGAATGACGAAATAAAAGCGAAAAGCAATTTTATATATCCATAATCTAGAATCTAGATGAAGAAAATAGAGCAACTTTTTAATGGGAAATATAAATTTATTATTTTATTAAGGTTTAAAACCCTACGCCATTATTTTATTAAATTAAATAATTAGGCCTTAATTTAAAAGGAACATTTTATTGTTTTTTTTGCAATAAATATCAATGCCAAAATTTTGCCTTAATTTCATTGTTTTCTACATGGACTGCCTACCAACATTCCTATTAAAAGTACTATATACCTTACCAGGTCGGAAGGTATAGCCTCGCTAGGCAATTAAAAAAGCACACTAGCCATATGCCAAGTTCTATAATTGCATTTTATTTATTTTTTCCTCTTCAGACTTAGGCACTTATAGACAATAAATAGAAATAAACAATAAAAACCATTAACAAATAAAGAAATTATTTGTTTTCTTTATCGTTTGAATGGATATTTGTTTAAAAAAATATAAAAAACCCAACTCACTGTCAAGTTCAAAGGCTGCAATACAGCCAGGAAATAACGACTTGCATTAAAAAAAAAAAGCCAAGAGCTAAATGTGGACAAGGTCCAAGCCTGTATTAATAAGTTCAAGCCACTACCAGCTGGTTGGTGCAGTCCGGCCAAGATTACTCGAGCGATTCAAGGCGAAGGTCGTTGGCGGCTGCACGCAAAACTCGAATTCCGAGCGGGGAGAACTCGTTTTCCTCTTTGGAGCTCTTTGGAACACAGCTTCTCCGATCCACTTGAAGCTCTCAAGTCTGGGGCCGATTCTAAAACACAGTTTTTGTTATTTTTTTTTGCAGGTTTTTGGGTGCCGTCGGTTGTCGCTTGGCGCTGTTGACGATAACCTTGAATGTTACTCATACGCCGAGTGGGACTAGCTTCGCTGTTTACTGTATTAAGGCGGGTTCTGCTCTCGGGCATGCCATTCAAATGTGTGCGAGTCTCCAATTAGCAATAGTAGGTCTGTTTTCGCTAGTCCCCTTTGTGGGCATGACTGACTAAACATTGAATATTTTTTTCGATTTGTTTGCATATTTTTTCTGCCACATATGAACAGAGTTTGTATTGTTCTCGGAATCATGGTACGCGCGGTGTAGTTTAAAGATTTTGGCGAGATGTTTATCCCAGAACTCGGTACGCTCGCTCTCTTTGGCACATTTCAGAGTGATTGTTTATTGTTAGTAAATGCGAAATCATAAAATTTGATGGTTCAGACGTGAACTGAATGGAGAACCTGTTTGGTTCTGGTTAACTGAATCAGACTAGCTTCTACCTCCATTGTTGGCTGCAATTGTTAAGTTTTTAAGACTTTACTTTATTTATGGCTATTCTTGCTGTTAATTTTTTGAAATTTTCTTGTTCATAACCAGTTGCCTCGCAAGCTGCAATAAAGAGTTCAATAAACTCATTGCGATGGTCCTCATGCAGTATCTTTTTATTTCTCTTGCAATTACTTGGCCTACAATTTAAACCAGTTCTGCGCCATTCCCTTCAAGTGAGCTCAGTGTGCTTTAAGCACGATAAAATATACATATATTTTTTTTGCAAATATAAGCTATAAATTGTAGCTACACTTCCGGGAATAAACAAATTACTGTTTCCGATAAGCGGCGAACAAAAGAAGCAATTTTTGGAGGAATTATTAATAAATGATTGGTCTTTAAAAAGCGTGTTATTTATAAAACTTACTATTATAGAAAAACCAAACCTTAATATTTGCTAATAAAAAAGTTATTTTTAAATAAATCTTCAATTATTTTTTTAAAGATACCGACCACTTATGGTTTATAGCTCTGATATGACATTGGGTCGTTAAACTGTATAGCTTTAGATAGCAACAATTTTCATAAAAATAAAATAATTCAAAAAATTGTGGGCTTGTCAAACTGTGAGTATAAAATACTTAACTTGTGAGTCACATTTTAATTTGCAATCCATTTATTTCCAACCGAAATGGAACGTAATTCTGAAGCTCAAAGTCCCTGTCAGGAACAGATACCATATCATCATTAATTTGCTTATTTTTGTGTTCTGTCATTAACCATTATCGGGAAAAATTAATCTATGAAATACAATAATATTCGTTGGCTCATTATTTAGTTTTTTTATGACGGTTGAAATGATTTTATGATCAATGAACCATATACTCGTATGAACACCATTAGGAACGAATTATTTTATTTTGTCTGGCGGAGTTTTCATTGAAAAATTAACGGGCACATGTTAATGATAAAGACAATCGGGTCAGGAATGTTTTTTTGAGCTTCAAAAGTGCCACTGAGCAGATAATTGAGTCACCTCTCCGGTCACCGGTTCCATTCCCTACCCCAAGTGTCGAATCTTGTGTCTCATTACAACAATTAAGTGCCGAAAACCTTACATCACAGAGTTGGAACATTAAATGGAAAGAGAATGGAGCGTCGTAACTCAGATTTATGACGAGGAATGACTCCAGTGCCCCCTTCTCCCCAAGTGTCATACAGGTGGACTTCTTTAAGAAGAACTTAAGCTACAAGTTTTGAGAAAAAGGGAATAATTTAAATATTAATATTATTAAGGGTTAGCCTTTCATATTTATTTTGAAAGCCAGTTTCACTTAACGATGTCTGCCTGTATTCCTAATGGAAACCTGTTTTTTCTTCTCCCAGTGCCGACAAAGCCGACAACGTTGCCGGGGAAGACGACGGCCAGTCAAGATGACGCAGACCAAGCAGCCAGCAGGAGGGTCGTCCACCTCCGCCGCCAACTTTAACTCCAACTCCTCCGCAAGTGTCTCTAAGCTGGCCCCCTGCCCTTCCTCCGCCCACGACGTTCTGCTGAACAACTTTCAGCTGAAGAAGAAGAGCTACCGGGTGCTCCTCCATGGACAGCAGTTGGTGTGGGAACGCCTTCAGAAGATCAAGCCGTCGAGCAACGAAATCAAAGCTCCTCTGCCGCCGGATGCGACATCTGAGGGCGTCTGTTCCTATGGCCCTCAGAGTCATGTCCTTCACCTGGACGATGTGGTCAGTGTGAAGAGTGGAGAAACCAAGTTGGCTTCGCTGCAACCACCTCCGCCGCCAAGCTCCGAGACCAGTTCCCGGTCCAGCAGCAGCAGTGGAGTGGCCATGAAGCCGACCTGTCAGTACCTGACTGTCAACTATGCCTTACGATTGAGCAAGTCCCAGACGGACTGCAACCGCTGGGAGCTCCGGCGGCTCACCTTCTTCAATTCGGATCCCTATATTGTGCGTCAATGGGATGAGGAGCTCCAGGCCAGACTGTACAGCAGTTCGCCCACCAGGATGCGAGTCCGTCGCCTCTTGGTGTTCATAAACCCTTACGGAGGACGCAAGGCGGGAGCACAGACCTACGAACGCCATGTGAGGCCCATATTCCAACTGGCAGGGGTGGATGCCACCTGCATCACCACCCAGAGGGCGAACCAAGTGAGAGACATCCTCCTGAGCCACGATCTGGGAGTGTACGATGCTGTCTGTTGCGTGGGAGGTGATGGCACCGTTGCGGAGGTGATCAATGGTCTGTTGTTCCGAAGGATGCGGGAGCTGGGACTGGACGAGCAGAGTCCCCCTTACATTCCAAGGCCGGCGCTGCCAGTGGGCGTCATCCCCGCCGGCAGCACCGACACCATAGCCTACAGCATGCATGGCACGGCGGATGTCCGAACGGCGGCCATCCATGTGATCCTGGGCCAGCACCGCGGACTGGATGTGTGCAGCGTCAGCAATGGCCAGTCCCTTTTAAGATTCTGCGCTAGTGTTCTCAGCTACGGCTACCTCGGCGACGTGGCTGCCCAAAGCGAAAACTATCGCTGGATGGGACCCAGACGGTACGAATACAGTGGCGTCAAGGCTTTTCTCAGCAATCGGGGATACGAAGCGGAACTGCGAATGCTAGAGGAGCCGGATCTCCTGCTGACCACCCCGATGCAGGAGGAGGTGCCGCAGAGTCCGGACAGTGTGTGCTCGCTGGGCGAGTCACTACCTTCCGTCTGCTATGCCAATTGCCAGCGCTGCAGTTTTGCGAGCAGTATCCAGGAGCAGAGGTCCTCGCAGCTCATTCAAGAGGAGTCCAGGCATACGGAGAAGGTAGAGCGCGAGGAACCGGAGCTGGGGGATCCCTATCTAACCCCCAGCGAGGCAGCCCTGCTGAAACCTCGTATTCGGCCGGGAAACCTTCAACTGCCCACAGGCTCCATCTCATCGATGAGAAACTTCGGCAACGAGCAATGGAAAGTGGTGCGGGGTAACTTCTTCATGATTTGCGGGGCAAACATTACCTGTGCCTGTGCCAGGAGTCCCAACGGCATCTCGCGATACAGCCACCTGGGAGATGGCTGTCTGGATCTGATTTTGGTCAAGAAGACCAATCTGCTCAATAATATACGCTTTCTACTCAACACGGCTGGTAGAAGCGGTGATATAGTGAGTATTCCTGAAATATTATGTCCAATTTTTACATAACTCACTAATTATTTTTTAAACAGCGCAATTTACCTTTTGTGGAGGTCTATAGGACTAGGAAATTCCAGTTCAGAACCTTGGCTGCAGCGGGAGAAGAGGACTATAGCCTGGCAGGCTCTTGCCAACCCATATCCCCACCCGGAGAATTGGGCAATCCATCCTCTTCTGCAGAGTTCTCTAGCTGGAACTGTGATGGCGAAGTGGTCACCGACCTGGATATAACTATGAGGTATAGTTATTTTTGCTTAAATATTAAAATATTTTACTTATCAAGTTCCTCTTTTTCAGATCCCATTGTCAGCTTATTGAAGTCTTCATGAGAGGACCCCATTCCTACAGTAAGCCGCTCAAGGGAGGATCCACTCCGACTACGCCAGCCAGTTCCAGCGACAATGTCTACTGCTGCTGCAAGGATTAGAAGCTTTAACCACTTAGAATTAGCATCAACCGTTGGCCGTGACAAGTAACTTGTAGTTTTGTGTAGGGTATTCATATTCGTATTTTTATCGTGTTTAAGGCCGGGTTGTCCCCGCCATTGTTTTTAGAATAGCTCAACCAAGCAACTGATATTATCGACTGTATTATGGCATCTGAAAGATGCGCAAGGCAAACCGAAACATTCCATCTCGGAAGGCGTGCATTATTCGCATAAATTTACATACCTTAAAATATATATTGTGTAATGGTATTTCGCCAATAAAGAGTATGTCTAAATGTTTTAAAAGTTGAGTCTCTTTGAAATTTTTGAAATGATGGTTTGTATGTTTTTGTTTTTATTTCCGATAAGAAAGGTTGAAAACGAAGCCTCTTAAAAGCTTTTGAATGCAAATTTATTTTCTAAAATATTACTTAATTCAACAAACTATAGCCATCGACAAGCTCCCGCAATAAAATTATTGTAATATAATCTTTTAGGCCATGATTCCAAATTCAATAAGGCGGGAAATTCAAATAGGAACTGGTTCTTTTCCGCTTGTGCTCATGTAGCGCTTTACAACACTACATTGGATGTTAGTATTTTTTTTATTTCACAGTGTTAATTTCAAACGTAGCTAACTTTCGTTAAAATAAATGTATTACTTGACCTAAAATGAAATATTTATCATAATTTGACCAATGATATTAATGTCAAAATTTTGCTTATACCTTACATGAAGTCTTTTTTGTTTTTCATTTAAACGGTCACACTCGTGGCATCGCTTATTTATAATTTCTTTGTTCCCGCGACATTTTAAAGTAAATAATTTTGGAAAATGAGTTTTCTGAGCTGCAGCAGCACTGTCCATGTTGAAGTTCGCTTGAAACGCAGCGATCAGTAAGTAAGCTCGATTTTATTTTCGGATTTTCAATAAAAATTTGGTACTTTCAGGCGTTTGCCGGCATTGAAGGCGACTTTGGAGCCGCTAATTCATTCGTATCTGCAGTCATCCATAAATCTGCCCCTCAATGTCGCATTCCCACCGAATATTCCGGAGGAAGATCACCAGCTGGTGGAAACTATCCTTCTGGAGCGAGACAACGGCGGCGGAAGGCCATCGGAGGCAACAGTCAACAAGTATAGCTTTCATTTCTACATGCCACAGCGCGAGGAAGCCAATTCAGGGGCTGGACTCTTCGATGCCGGTGGAGGTGGGGACGGTGATGGCTTCGAAAACGTTGTGGCTGCCAACCATCTTCTTCTCCCGGCCAGCCGGTTTGTAGGCTTGTGGGAGAATCTCATCTACGAGAACGGTCTGAAGGAAAAGGTGTGTTTAAGAACCGTGAATCACAGGCTTTTGACCCCAGAAAGATTTGTTTTGCCATTCCAAAAATAGCTGGAACAAAGTACAGAGCACAAGTAGCTAAAAATTGCAGCGGAACTTGTGCAGCTCACGTAAAAAAGCATACTAGTTTGTGTTTTTACGTGGTTTTTTATCCAAAGGTATTCTTTTTCGCAAACTAATGAACATTTTCTTCTTTTCAGCTCCTAAAGTTTGCATTGTCGGCCCTGAGTTTCTCTCAGCATCGTGTAGACACCAATGTTATTGCCTGCAACCGACTCCTTCTGCTTCATGGACCACCGGGAACTGGAAAAACGAGTCTCTGTAAGGCTCTGGCCCAGAAGTTGGCCATTCGGACACAGGGGAGTTATGCGTACACCCACCTGGTAGAGATCAACAGTCACAGTCTGTTCTCTAAGTGGTTTTCAGAGAGCGGCAAGCTGGTGGCGCGCCTCTTCGCTCGAATTGGAGAGCTGGTTGCTGACCGAAACAATCTGGTCTGCCTGCTGATCGACGAGGTGGAATCTTTGGCTTATGCCAGAAATTCCATGTCCAGCAATGAGCCGAGGGATGCTATGCGGGTGGTTAATGCTGTGTTAACCCAGCTGGACGACATCAAGGCCTGCCCAAACGTGCTTATCCTAGCTACTTCTAATCTGGCGGCGAGCATCGACCTGGCTTTCTTGGATCGTGCGGATATCCGGCAGTATATTGGATATCCATCTATGCCAGCAGTGCGAGCCATTTACAAGACGATGCTCTCGGAGCTCATGGCAGCAGGCATAGTTGAACGGGAGGCGCTGGAAGCTGAAGACTCTGAGGAGGGTCTGCTGACCAATTTGGCGGAGCGAAGCATTGGATTGAGTGGACGCACACTAAGAAAACTGCCACTTTTGGCCCACGCCCAGTTCACCAGCAGCGATCTCTTCGAACTGAACCAGAAGATAAGCTTGTCTGACTTTTTGGACGCCATGATGCAAGCCCTTGAACAGCACTTGGGCGAGCAGCGTCTCCTTAAATTGGAGTCCCTTGAAGAGCTCTAAATCAACATCCAACCAATTCCTCATAAGCATTTCAAACGAAAAAAAAATACATGTACACCATCACCATTCTCAAGACTTTGTAAACTTCAATTTTTTTTGCCATGAAAAACAATCCAAGGGCGGAGATGGCGAAGATGGAGGTCCAGTCGCAGAGCTCTGTTTGCTGCTTCGTTTCATTTGCACACGACACAGAGATTTTCCCATTTCTTTATCCGGCTTTTGATGTGAAAATCAAGCGTGAAATCTTGTTATTTGCTTGCAAGCTCCTACATCGACTGCCCATTCAGCCCGCATCCCATTCCCACGCATCGCTCGGCTCTTATCCGTCGGATCCTGTGCACCCTCCAACTCGATATGCACAGACATTGGACCCTACGCAATCTCAGCACTTTTACCTTGCCTTTCCTTCTCATTCGAGTGAAGGAGAACTCTCAAGTCCGGCACATATCGAATCTATTGGATGATGGTCAAGACTGGCAATCTAGCCGTTTTTTGAGTATATTTTATTGCCGAGTGGCTATCTATTTTTAATAAAGTATTTAAAAAACCCTATCGTTTTTTGTTTAAGGTATTTATTGGCTTTGATTTTTGAAATTTTTTCATAGAATTTTGTTTATAAAAATGTATATTATATTTAAAAGCAATATGTTCCAACACTGTGTGCAAGTTTGTCATGGAAAAGGGTGTAGGTCCCGGACAGGACATGCCGGACGTGGAAAGTTATTACGAGTGCAAGTGACGACTAATCAAATTTGGCTGACAATTTGATTCAGTGTTGATACTGCCTGTTGATCCATAGCATTCATTTTGATGCCAATCACTTAGTCGTAATTCCAGTATCAGTGTGGGGATATAGAAGGCTTAATAACTTTAAATCCCAGTTGTATTATTAACGATTGTGATACTATCCTGTGATTGCTGAAGGAATTTAATTGGATTAAGTCAGTCGCATGTGGACCAAATAATTCTTTGTTCTTAAATGGCTCTCATTAAATCAGGAAAAATCTCGGCCAAAAGTCGTTCATAGATTGGCAGGAACTAAAAGAGGAGGGGAAGGTGAGACAGGTGAGGGCAGGTGGCCATAAAATGGCTGGCTGACAGTAAAAATAGACAAACAGGGGGCGCCATCGAATTATGTGAACGGATAGCTGCAGGGCTAATAAAATGTAGATGTGTGCACCGGAATGGAGGAAGTGCGATAAAATAGATTCCTGTTGATGAAAATGTGATGCGATGCTCATGTGTGATTCCGCCCATTGTCCTCCTGCCGGGGCATATAAAATATACGGGGGTTTATTAGCCATACGGCAACAGAATCGCATCAGGATCTAAATGGGCCACAGGAAAGGCATTGCAGACTGAATCTTATGGCTTTGCTTAGTTGATGTGGCTTTTTCATTTAAAGCTTGTTGATCCAAAACGGATGTACCCAAAACTAAATACCTTTGCTGGCATCCTTCTTGTAGGTACTGTAAAAATATCTCCTTGTGGAGTACCTACCGAGTTTCCAGCTCATCTGCCATTCGATTGTTGATTTTTACATTTTATGGCTCAACGCGTTGTTTGTTTGCTGCAGTCGTGTGTTACATTCAACTATTATTTATCTGCTTGTTTACGTTTTATTTCAACAGAATCGTCTACAATTCCAGCTATCAATGGTGTTTGTTTGCCGCATCCAGTGGGTTTGCAAAGGGTCCATGCTCAGCCCCACCCCATCATTTGTCTTGGTCGCCTGCTGCTCTTGCCAGAAAAAACAATTGATTTTACATATTTATACACAACAGAATAATATCCCAGTTATAAGATATAACATAAAAATAATTCGATTGTGGTTTGGTTAAATTAATTATCTATTGTATTCTATATAAATTTATAAAGCCATAAATCTATTAAGTCTAACTAGCCATTAGACAAAATATACTTCCTTTTAAGGATACAGTGATGTTGGTTTAATATTTAATATAAAGTTTAGCTTATAAATTCTTTCAAGAAAAGTTGTACAAAAAGTAACTAGAACTTTTTCCGAAATTCTTCTAAAAGGAACCCATGAGTTGTAGTCCTTGTCCTTCCTTTATGAGTGGTGTGAGACATGTTCCCCAGGCATAAATTGCAAAATAAATGTGCAATGTATTTCGAGTCGGCTGCAGACCACGTCCCGCCATTTTTCCGACACCCCCAAGTCCCGATTCGGAGCTCCTCCCCCGCACAATCATGCAGAAGCACAGAGAATTGAACCATTGATGGCTACGTTTATTTATGTTTTCCCTGCTCGGTGTGTGTTCGAAGCCTGTAAGCAGCATTTTGCAATTGCATTTCAGCAATATGGAAAATTTTGCTTCCCAGTACGAATTCGCATTGTTATCCAATGCTGGGGCTGCTGCTTTTGTCGATATTATTGTTGGAGCTCATGTTTTTACCAAGACTGGGGGGCAATTGTTTCTTGTTTATTGTTTGGATTTGTAAGCTTACCGTATTGTGGCGTTAAGAAATTTAAACTTACATCACACTGGCACAGGGAAAATGCTTTAAAATTGCCAAAATCAAAAATTGCCCATTAACTCTTTCTACAAGGTCCTGCATTTGATATTTGATAGAAAGCTCGATTGATGTTCACACAATTAAACATTGGCCACATAATATGGCTTAAAATAGAAACATTTTTCAAATGAAGAACCTAAAGGCTGTTAATTGTATAATTCCTTACAATGAATGCTTTCAAGCTTACGCTCTATTTAATTTTGTGTAAAAAAATTTAAGCGACTGAATAACTAAATGGATAAGTTGGTTTTTATCTTATAATTTTAAAAATCAAACAACTTGTCCTGATTTCCTTGCGTATCTTGGCCATAACAGCTTCAAACCACTAAAGATAGAGGCAATTTTGGTTTAATTTAAACTGCTGTGGTGAGTGCTGGAGGCCAGACGTCGATGATGAAACCGCGGCGCCTTTGTTGCCACAGTTCACCCTTTCAGCCCTATCCTATTTGCCACTCCCCCTTTATGGGCAGAATGTGCAGCCGTTGCAAAAATATCCGCGGATCCGGGAAGCTTGAAATTGTTTAGTTATTGAAAAAGGGTCGTTAATTATGTATATCTATTTTTTGGCCAAGAATTTCTTCTGGCAACTTTCGGCCAAAATAAATATGAAAATATGGCGAAAAGGGCCCGCAGCAGCTGCACGTTATCCCACAAACCTAAATTTAAATTCGGCTTCCATTGACTGGCAGAGTCCCTGGCATTAAAAGCTATAACAGTTTTGTGGGAAAATGGTGAAGCAAAAAATTTCTTCTCGGCTTGATGGGGAGTCTTAAAATGGATTGTCAACAAACTAACTCTTGAACTTACTCACACAACAAGTGCATAACTCCAGTATTAGATTCTTAGTTCCCCTTCTCAAGCCATGACAACCATCAAGCTAAGTCAAGCCAAGCAAAATGCACTTCAATGTTCGCATATGCACTTGGGTGTTCTCAAATATATTTTAAACATATTTTATTTGAAGATATTTTAGAAAAAAGCGTAACTATTTCAAATTATTTATATGACAACATGGCGTATACGTAATTTTCTGTTTTTGTTTACTTTAATCGGATTTTGTAGGGATATAAACAACTAACAACCAGTTTAAACTCTATGTTTGTTTTTTTTAAATATTCTAAACATTTTCTTCATTTTGAAAAAGAAAGTTTGGTGAAAATTGAATTGAGAACCAGTCAACTATCTATTCGCATATGTACCGCTGTGCTCGGGTGTGTTATTTATGCTTGAAACGTGACTAGAAATATGAAATGCAGCAAATGTGTTTACTTAAATGAAGTGAGTGAAAATTGACAAACACACACACACACATAGCCATATTCAACCAAAAGATGACTAAAATGCATTGGAAGGGCGGCTGGAATAGGAGGCGTGGCCCAGTCACATCCGACTAGCGAGCTTAGGGCACATGAGAAATACGCCAAAAATGGCAACGACGCTAATCCCTTGGCCTGAGAAGCTCTCACACAAACGCCTGAAAAAGTACAGTGATGACTCCAATAAAGTGGCAAAATAATTTAATTAAAAATATTAAATTTTATAGTATAATCTCTTATATTTTCGAATGCGAAGAGCATTAAATAAATTTCATTTAAAGATAAACATTTTTTGAAGATTTTTTTTAGGTTTTCCTGTTGCCAACACATACACTGCGGAAATATGTCAAATTCAATAACAGCCAAAGTGACGTGCTTCCTGACCTAACCCCCCGCATAACCCCTTGTTGAGCAAAAATCTGAAAAAGAAGTCGAAGCAGCAGAAGCAACTGCGGCGCCAAACTCTGGACAATGGTATCCAAAGCCAACTGCTCTTTCCACATTGCCCGGACTGCCATCGTCCTGGCCTTATAAAAATGTACGATTTTTCTTCATTTGATGAAACGAAATACAATTTCTCAACGAGCAACGCAACGCAAAAAGTTGGTTGCAATTGCAATTTTCTTGCCAAATCAGTGCACGCTGCTCGCCATATTGACATTTTTAAAAGCCAATATTTCTGCGAGACTCCCAGACCCATTTTCCTTAGCCAATTCCCCAAAAAAAGAAGCAGAGACACACACAAAGTACGTCCAAAGTTGGATGCACGAATTAATTTATTTGACTTTTGCAATGTATATAAATATAAATTGAATGAGTCCCACGCACACAAGGAAATGAATTGCGTGGGCCGTCATTTCCGTCATTTCCGGAAACAGGCACACAATGGTGGAAGTTGTATTTCAAAGAGTAACATTAAACAAACGTAACAAGTAGGGAAAGTGGGTCAACGGACAAACACTTTAAGCTAGAGACCATCTTCCAATCAAAATATAAAAACTTTTCATTTAAAAACGATTTTGGGACGTACATATGGTATGTAATACATACTATGTTATACTATGTATAACAAACGCAACTCACAAAAAAAAATTATTAATTAAAAAAAAATTCACATATTATCCTTCCCTAGAAAATTAAAAAAAATCGAAAAAATTTCTTGTCTCTAGATTTTGATGCAGAATGATTCAGAATCGCTCCACAAATCGATTAAGGTATTCCGCTTAAGGATCGGATTATTATTGACGAAGATATAGACATCGCACTGGGCCATATTGTCCCCCATACATTTTTAAAAATGTTGAAGGGGATCCCCTAGAAAATTTGACAAAAAATCGAAAAAATGTCTTGTCTCTAGATTTTGATGCAGAATGATTAAGAATCGCTCCACAAATCGATTAAGGTATTCCACTTAAGGATCGGATGATTATTGACAAAGCTATAGACATCGCACTGAGCCATATTGTCCCCCATACATTTTTAAAAATGTTGAAGGGGATCCCCTAGAAAATTTGACAAAAAATCGAAAAAATGTCTTGTCTCTAGATTTTGATGCAGAATGATTCAGAATCGCTCCACAAATCGATTAAGGCATTTCGCTTAAGGATCGGATTATTATTGACGAAGATATAGACATCGCACTGGGCCATATTGTCCCCCCATACATTTTTAAAAATGTTGAAGGGGATCCCCTAGAAAATTTGACAAAAAATCGAAAAAATGTCTTGTCTCTAGATTTTGATGCAGAATGATTCAGAATCGCTCCACAAATCGATTAAGGTATTCCGCTTAAGGATCGGATTATTATTGACGAAGATATAGACATCGCACTGGACCATATTGTCCCCCCATACATTTTTCAAAATGTTGAAGGGGATCCCCTAGAAAATTTGGCATATTATTGGCAAAAATATAGCCATCCCATGCGTTCTTCAATATTTTGAAGGGATTCCTTAGAGAATTTTACAAAACTCTTTTTTTTAATATAATAGCCCAGCTATTTTATTTAATGCGCCTATTGTATTACCTGCATCGGTTGCTAATTAACCAAAAATAAATAAGAAGCACTTTGGCCATCTTGCCCGCCCAATCTTCCTACTGCCCTCCTTGCCGATGCCGTGTCGCTGCAATTACTCTGATTAATGGCGGTGGGTTCGGAGCCACAGAGAATGCCTGCGGTTTACCAAACCAATACCCTACACCTTGGTTCTTCGTCCTTTTTCCCTTGATTGCCGGAAAGGACAAATGAGGATTCAGGGAACTGGGAATGACAGTCGAACGGACACTTTTTGCCCGTCCAACTTTGGCAGGCAGAAACTGCAAACGCAAATGAAATTAGTCAAAACTATTTGGGCAATTCCGTGGCAATGAGGCGGTTTCGCACTCCTTTGAAATTTTCAACAGGCATCGATAATACAACACTGAAAGAAATAGGTAAAAGTTAAGACTATGAAATTTATAGTTTTCTTTCTCTTGTATCCTGAATACAGTATATTTTTCTTTTGATTAATTTATTAAAATTATTTCTTTGATTTATTAAAAAAGTGACTTTAATCCTGTGCTTTTCCTATGAATTCACATTCAGATTTTCCAATGCCAAGTCAAGTTCGTGACGCGCGTTATTTCTAATTAGATTAGGGTGTGTCCAAGAGCCCTGACCACGCCCTAAGCTGATGGCCCGTCTCGTACGGACTGGGCCGATTTGATTGCCATTTGGTCGCCGGCCGACTTATTCGTTTTGCAGTAATTTTAATTGAAAAAATTCTTCAATTTTGCCATCCATCTGACGGTCAGGTCGGCCATGGCCCGTTCTCATCTCTCATCCGACAGTCGAAGAAATGTAATTAGCCCCTCCCCCGGTTGTCTGTTTGTGTCAACTTTTCAATTAAATATTCATAAAAAATGCAATTTTCCAGCCACTTCGCAGGGCGGAAAGATATTTTGCAATTACTTCTAAGTGCCTGCATAAGGTCAGGCGCCTAAATGGTAATTATGTGATTGATTTTTCGCAGGGATGGGATACTTTATAAAAAATAATAAAATTTATGAAGTAAGTTAATTTAGTAAGTAAAAAATAATAAGAACAACATTTACATCAAAAAAGTTGTTAGATGAGGTCGCTATTTTAAATCATATTTTATTCATATATGTTTCTTTAATTGTCTTATTTTAAGTAAAATTCTAAAAAAAATTTGCTGATAATTAATAATTATTTTTGTATCTTAATGTCTTCACAAAAGTCTACTCTGTCTACTTTTTAGACAAAAGTCTAAAAAGTCTAGTCTGTCTAAAGTCCACTGTCTCTGAAATTCTACAGGGTAAGGGTAATGCATAGCTTGGTTTGAGGAATCTTTAATTAAATTGGTCAGCTGAATTGGTCAAAACCAGAAGCGAAAGGTGGTGCTAATTTTAGCAGCGCCAATTCTTTGTCTTGCAGTTCACGTGCCCTTTGTGCAACAGAAATGGCGGTAATTAATCATTTCTACTGCGGTTAGTCGACCACCATTCGATTCCAGCTCGCTGTTTGGCGTGACGTGCGAATCGCGGTAGTTATTTGAACTACTCCAGCTAGTTTAATTAAAAGCCACAGCTCGCCCTCTGCGGCAATTGGTGTGAGTTATTGGTCGGCGATGATTTGCTACTTTCGTGCTCACATTGTCACTGGCACATGTTGTGGGTCGTTTGATTGTGGCCATAATCACAGAAGGCATCTACTTCACGTACATTGTGCGCAGGAGGGCGAAAAACTTGTAGGACAGCTGCAGAAGCTGAGGGTGTTAAAAGGTAAGAGGTTATCAAATAAACAGTTAGGTATTTTTCATTTTAGCTCACATCGGATACGGTGACCAGTGACACATTTAGGAATATGGTGGCTTTCAGTCGACTGGGCTGCTGGGATCTCTTGATGACCAGGACTAACATCTTCCGATAGCGTATGTCTGCATTAAACCAGTCTTGGTTGTACACTGCCTGACCTATGTTGCCGCTCTGGAAATTTGAGTTAGAGCTTTGAAAGTTGATTTAAAAACAAGGACCTTTGTCTTACCGCATCTAGCAACCGCTGGGCATAAGTGGTAATCATAAAGACCTGAACCATGGCGCAAAAGAGGAATAGGACCAGCATGACCAGGTTGTCGATTTTGCCGCCTATGGTCATCTGGAAACCCACAAAGCAAATAATGAACGATGAGGACACAAAGTTGCATAGCAGCGATACACCGAATATCTCATTAATGTCCTGGCAGAGATTTAGCAATCGCTGATGGTAGGCCACTGCAGCCTGGAGAAATTGTAAATCCTGCTGTGGCGACGCTGCTCCCGCTACATGGGCTTCAATTTTATGCCCCAAGCGAATGAAGTGCATCACCAGAATAGTTACCAAGGCACACATAAGCATATCAGCGGCCAGTTGCCCGGAAAGGCACGCCTGCCCGCCAATATTCTGGGCCACATACATGAAGTAGTAGGTGTTTCCGGTGCTCCAGTCCCAAGGCACCCAGCTGTAATAGGGTAGCATCCGCTCGAAGCTTCGTATACCCAGCCAAAAGTCGCAAACAAGCCAATAGACGGCCCAGTAAAGGTTATACGTCCAGATCAGAACCATATGCATGCTAAAGTAGAAGATGCTGTATCTGCTGTAGCTACTCAAATAATCCTTGATTGCATATCCTTCCTGTTGGTCTGCTCGCCTAGGGTGCAGTTTCTCCATTTCGCATACCACGTGAGTGGTTTTGGCTCTTTGTCGCCAAATGTGCCAGATCTTGAGATCACCAACAACCACAAAACCGATAAAGGACATGTTCATGGTCGCCTCCAAGAAGTTACTGCCCTTGCCGATCGCCAGAAATACGTAAATAAGCTCTGAGACGAGCACCACGTTCAGGTTAAGCATTTGTGCAATGAAGAGCCAGTGGAGTAGCTGCTCCTTTCTCTTGCTGTTTTCCTTATGGTCGTAGGCCAGCATTCCAATGGATAAGTAAAACTTATTAGCATACTTGAGAAAATCGTCAAGTAGAATAGGCTTCGATGTCTCTGGCTTTTCGGCTGTTTGACTTTTCTCCGGAGTTTCCATTTTTGATTGCCTACTTTTCCGCGCCGCTGGTCTTTTATATGGGATTCGAAATTAGGGCTAAACCGAGACCGCCATGGTCGATGATTTAATAATTTACTGTTGCCACACACTCTGGACAATTGTCACGCCCACTTGATTAGCATGTACACGGCGAGCATCTCTCAATTAGGGCGTTGAGAACCCGTACACTTGGTCGTGGGAGGGCGTGTCTAATTGAGCCTAAGTCGAAATCGATGACTCCCCCAATTAAGTGACTCTTAGTTGCCCACAAATGTCAGCGATTAGTTCCACCTCCGACGGCCATTCGAATGCTAATGTAATGTTGTAATGTTCATTGCTGTGGCTAAGAATAGATTTTAAATCCAGACGGAATTTACAACGAAAATATTGTATCTTCCAAAATGTAATCAATGAATCACTTATTTAATGAAAACGGAAATACACAAAGGTATGAACAGTAACCTGAAATAAAATAAATCATAGTCTAAGAGTCCCCTTATATTTGATGTATTCAAATGCTTATCCATTCTCTGCGTTTTTTATAAGAACATTTTCAACTTCCACAAAATGGATTTTTATGTAGTGGCTGTTTTGATATTTCAAGAGTATTTGGAGCGACATTTATGTCCTTCTTTTATGGCTTGTTTTGTTCCGGGTCTTGGCCAGCACGATACACAATGTCCTCTTGTTTTTGTGTCTTGACCCACTTGTCTCTCTGTGTGTGTGAGAGAATCTGCCTGACTTCGGGCCTTGGTTTTTGCCTATTTCCTGTTTACACACATCAAGATGGCACTGCATTCGAATTCCCATTTCTTCTGGATAACTGAGACACAGCTCATGTCTCTGGGATCAAATGTTTTTCCGTCTCCGAATAATGCAAAAGTTTGCCTCATTCTTTACAGGGCTTGTTTATTTGCTCGTTTGTTTTTCATTCCAAGGCGGAGATGAGTTGCCTGGTATGTTGCAATTAAATTCGATTTGAGTCACTCTCATCCTGTCGCTGCTCCGTTTCTGAATCTGTATCACAATTGGACTCTGACTAACTGACCTCATTTGCGTATCGCATTTCTAATGAAATTTACATGACTAGTCCGCCGCAGCAATGTTAATGAAGAGCATTTATACGCATTTCTCTGTGTGAGTGCATCCATGTTGATGTATGAGTGGAAGCACATACATATGTGTATGTGAGTCCTGCTGCGTGCATGTGAATATATTGCCATATGAGATTTATTCTCAAATGCAATTAGCATTTTAAATATATCTCACGCAACACACAATTTTTCACTTCTTAATGGCATTTGTAATGTTAAACCAAAATTAATTTAATAAATTGTAACTGCCACATGACGCGTCTGTCACTGTTATGTAATTTTAATGCATTTCTATTTCCCATTTAAAGTTTTTGCTGCAAAAAGTTAATAAGAGAAAAAAGTAGTCATAACAAAAACTAATTTGCAAGCTATTTTATTGATTTCAATTAACTAATTTTTTTAGTTACTTTTTCTAATTAAAAGTAATAAAAAATTTGGTAATTGAATGAAATGAAATATTAAAACTACTCAGTAGTTTTCGTGGTTAGATATTTGTATACAAAAAAATGTTTATCTTTTATAATGACAATTATTTTGAACAGTGTGTGCTTCTGTTTTTATTTGAAAATATCTATGAAGTACTTGTGAAAATGGCTTGGATAAGTTTTTAAACCGGATAAATGCAGTTTATTTCAAGAGTCTTTGAAAGAATCAGTTTATTGTTAAAAATGTAAAAGTTCGCAGGAATTTATTTTATTTTATTAAAAAAAGCTCTATTACGGATAACCTAACCACATATATGAGTTTGAAATATATTTGTTGTTTCTATTTCAAAAACCACATTTAGGCAAATGAGAGCAAAATAAGATTATAAGCTCAATTTTTAGTTGGATTTTAGGTTGAAATTTTGAGGGGAAAGTGCTTTCGCTTTTTGGAAGCACAGTTTTTGCAGCTAATACTTATGCAGATTAATCTGCATGCCTATGGTATCCGTACGAATGCCCCTTGGGGTGTGGGGCAAGGTCCTTGAGTTTCCGTTTTGCATTTTTGGGGCCGACCCCATTACAGAGGGGGTTTATCTATGGCGAAACCGAGAGACAAAAAGGAGGTCGGTGCGCCAATTTCCTGCCCCTTTACTTTTTGGCCCACACCACAGTAAACAAAGCAATTATGTGTGTATGTACCTGCAAAAAATATATACATATGTATATGCATTTGTACATACCACAGCGGGTATTCTTCCACAGCCTGTACTGCTGGTTGTGTGTTCGCCAAAATACTTCGTTGTTGGTTAGTTTGTTGCACTGTTGCATATTATCAAAAACATTTGTAGCAGGAAAACAGAGCTTCGGACGAGTTTCAGTTTGGTCGAAGGGATGTTTTTGGAACGGGGTGCGGAAGGGCGTCCATGTGTATATTTTGGCTGCTGGCATTTTTGAATGTTTGCCAAATGTTGTTGGCTTTGGCGTAATTGTTACACCAACAGTGAAATGTGCAATGATAAGGCCGCGATGTGTTTTTTCCCATCGCCATCCTGTTTTTTTTTCCCTCTCCTCCTAACATTTCTATTATTTTTTCGCCAAGCTGCCATTGCCCTCTGCTGGCAGTGTGCCACTTTCTGTGGCACTGCACACATGCTCGGGGTGTCCTTTCCCCTTGTCTAATGTGGCCAACATAATAAACTTAATTTGAGTGGAAATGTTGAGTAATAGAAGCCGATGCACAATGAAAATGAATAACTTGTTGAGAAAATGTCATTGACCTTTGATTATAATTATAATAATAATTATTTGACATACCATAAGTTTTAAACTTCTTTTCTTTGAACATTTATGTTTTAATGGCCTTTATTTTTTTAATATTTAAGCAGTTATAAAATTCCTTTAGTTGAGATTATACAGTTATATGATTATTTTATGCATTTTCTTTGCTTTTGCCAGTTTATGATTCTTTGGAAACACCTGCAACTGTTGTGATTTAATAATCCTCACATGGGCACGCTCAAAATAAGTTCAAAACATATTTCAACCCATTCGGCTGACTTCAGTTCTACAAACTTTTTTTCCCAGAGACGGGAAAAACTTTTCTGGCTGCCAGTTTATTGGGCTTTTACGTGGGCGAGAGAGCTTCCACGTCTGAGGACCAAACTCAATTTTAAATGCCTTTTTCTGGTATTTAACTAATTTGCTTAATATTTCGCGAGCTCTCGAAAAATTTGACTGCGCGTGAAAATTGCCAAGTGGAAAATAAATGAGGGGGTGGATGGGAGTCTCAGACTCCTCCGGCTGGCAGCTGCTAGATCCTTATAATATTTATCCTTGTCACCCACACATATGCGAATCGTTCCGACTGACTTTGACGCTTGCTGAAGTGTCTGTGTGAGTGCGTGGGTGTATTTTGAGCTTTGTTATGTTTTGATTAACGGCAAATCAAATCAAACGAGATAATGACTCGGAATGGAATTACTTATGTGTGCACTCAATGAGCTATGCAGTGGATCTGGCGCATAGTTAATGCTTTAATGCCTTTAAAGCAGCTTCGACATATTGCTCATACGCCGTGTGACATCGTATATCATTCATCGCATCAGGGAATTTATATTTCTTTTTTTTAATTTATGACCCAAACGCACTAAGGAATTCCAGTGTGAAGTTGTCTAATACCCATGCTGGACAAAAACAACAGCATTGGTGTTAATAATAATTATAACAAATGCTCACCATGACCTAAATTTCGCACGGACATGCTCTCCAGTGCAGGCTCTCACTAGAGAGACGAACAGCAAATTATTGTTTAAATATTAAACAAACACACTACACACACATGCAGTATGAGAAACAATGCATTTTGTGGGGCAAATACAATGGGGAGATAAACAAAGCCCAGCGACAGACTAAGGACCAAATTTGCATAAATTAAAGAACCCCAAGCTCATGCCAGATACATTCGTTGCGACTCATAATGGAGTTTCGGATAGTTGGGGAACGATTCGAACGATCGATAGAATTTGTTTTAAATTAACTTTGAACAAAATGGGAAGAGTTGTGGTCAAAATAATGGGTAACAAGAGTAAGTCTCTCTATTTAGCTCTTACACTGAATTTGATGTAAAATACACAATGATATTACAACAAAATTCCTTTAAAAGGAAAGGAAATCGGGACTTTATTTATGTTTTTTGAAATTTAAAAATGCTAGTTTTTACTACTAAGGTGATATTTTAATTTAGAATACAAATTTATATTTAACATTCCTATGGTCTCAAATTTAGCAAAAGTGCTTACCTTAAGAACCCTGACTCTTGAGTCTCATATGTATAGATTGCTTTGTGCAGCCATCCAAATTAATAATTGTTCGATGGTATGACTATAATCATCATTATTGTCTGGCTCATTTGAGAGAAATGCCATTTCCAGTTTCACTCGAAATCCCTTCAATGGTTTCACCCAAGACCCGAAAGTCTTACCACACTTATACCACTCGAAATATTTACATATATACGTACAAATGTACGTGGATGTACATATATTGGCTCACATGGATTTATATTCACATTTATTCGTCACAGCTTGACTTCAATTGCAAAATTGGCTGCTCCTGCGACCAGAGTGGGCCTTTTTGTAAATATTTTATACTGGTTCCATTCTGGTCTGTGGTCATCTCGTTTGTGAGGTTATAAAGTTAATGAATTGCATTTTAATATGTATTATGACCCTGTCACTCCCTTCCCATATTTTGCGAAAGCCTTCGGCCATCTCCTCGACTTAATAATCTTTAAAACGGAAGCCTTGATAGAAAAGTGAGGGTTGATTAAATTTAGTTCATAGATGACTGCTTTTCCAATCCGTATTTTGGGGCGGATTTTCATAACCCACACACGTTCGGACACACCTGCACATTGCGATAAGCTAAGAGGAAATTCGCATTCGACTGGCGACCCCTTTGCGTCGATGAGGATATTCAGACC